TGTTTGTGTTGTTTACTTTTGTAACCTGCTCTTACGTTGGTTTTGGGATTTCCAATAAATCTAAAATCATCAGTTTAAATGTCAGACCATCTTTCGGAGGGATGTGCTACAGTCCAAACAATATTACTTTTTGTTGTAAGTTTTGCTGTATCTTGGAATACAGTTGGGGACACCTGACTGAACCCCGTGTTGACGGGGATCATCGGGTCTCCTGGTTCTGCTTCTAGGCATCTCCTCAGTAGTAGACAACCATCAGAGGACAAGGGTGGCACTGTGGAGGTCTGCGATTTAACTGTAGTCCTTCTCCACCTTCAATGAGTACAAGCTCCACTTCCTGGACTTTTTTGTTGTACACCTTGCTGTACCTGATAATACAGAAAGGAGGATCAGCTAAGTGAAATGTTTGTAATACCTGACATTGTTTTCTTATACAGTAATTAGCATTAGCACATAAAATACAATCACAACAATAAATCTATCATCTATCTGTATTCCTCATACTGTATAATTTTTTTGACTCCTCTCTTATATTGAGTAATATGCACAGGAGTAATAAAAATGCGACATACTGAATTGTGTCATCAGCTTTTCACCTGGCTGGACTGTGGACACGGTGGTTGTAATCCAGGCCAGCCAGGATGGTCCGAACAGCGTATACTGGTGAGAAGAACAGCGGGGCTATGAAAGACTCCAAATCTGCAGGTGACCTGAGGGCACAGTAGAAATAAAACATACAGTATTTTTTACTTCTAGTAACATAAATAATGGCATAACAGCACCAATTAAAGTAAAAGGTTTTCACCCAGTAGGTTTAGCTATGAACAGTGTCAAACTATATAATAAGTAGCTTATACAACAGAAACGCAAGATACTAAGTTGGTCGCTACAATTAGATGTTTGCTAAGTAGGTAGCTACCATTAGATGTATACTAAGTAGATAGCTATGTTGGCTACCGATGAAAGTAACAAATTACCATCAAAATGAAAAAAGCCAGATTACCTGTCCAGCAGAAATGAAGCGACTACGGTGTAACTTCAGCCACTTGGGGTACCTCAGTTTTCACCGTCGTTGAAAAGCCACGCAGACATTACCTCCGATCTGACCGCTTCGGTCAGGTCTAAGAGCTGACCGGGTGCACGCATGTAGGCAGCTCCTGCAGCAGCAGGGCTGGTAGCCATGGCAGCGAGGACAGTCAGCCAGCCAATCATTGCATTCGGTCCGAATGAAACGAGTCCTGTGTTTATTGCAGCCCTGAGAGGACTACAGACCACCTAAGAGAGAGCACCTAACTATTTAATATGTCTTGGTGTATAAAGACAGTTTCAACAAATATGACAAATAATGTTTTAGAAACAACTTGCCTATCCTGCCTTTAATCAACAGTGTGCATACACCAATTGGACTCATGGATGCACACACAACATAGAAAGGCATTTTAAAAGTTTGATGGAGGAAGTGTGGAAGAAGTCTTATGTCATGTTTTTCTAATGTAACTAATTTGCACATCATTTGTAACATGTCTGTGGTGTTGCAGGTTAGTTGCCTACATTACATCACATTTAGCTGACGCTTTTGTCCAAAGAATTACAATTGCTATGTATGTCAGAGGTCACACACCTCTGGAGCAACTAGGAGTTAAATGTCCTGCTAAGGGACACATTGATGGATGTGCTGCAATGGGAATTGAACCCAGGTCTCTTGCAGCAAAGGCATGCGTCTCATCCACTGCTCCATCACCACCCACATATGGCTATATTTAAATTAGCAGACTGATCAGCCATTTTTTATATATATGGTACTGTGTCAGTATGGAAAGCCAGTCAGAGAAGTGATTCTGTTAATTTTTTTTGATCAATTGAAAATATGTCACACACATATGCAAATATTAATTTGAAACAAGGGATTAACCACACTACAGCTTACTCATAACTGTCTAACAATTACTGCTACTGTCATGTTAGTCTTAAATAACAATAAATAACACTGCATAAATCCCATCCCAGATTCCATTTTTCCCATACAGTTTCTCCTTTTGGATGACTGACGGTCACAATGGGCAGACACCAATTTAATGCATGTGGGATTAATGTTCACCGGCTGCCAACATCCCCCCCCCCCAACACACACACACACACACACACACACACACATTGAAATGTATGACAGTACAGTTACAGATAAAGTTGCTTTTCACAGCCTGAGACACAGACATAGACAAACGAGGATAGAGCGATGCAACCACATGCACACACTAATAGCAAGATGCATCTGCTTTTATTTTGCCTTTTGTTTACTAAAGAAGATGAGAGGACATGAACTTACATTCTCTCATCCCTTTCCTGCCTACATGTGCGGGTGGTTTGTCTGTCTCCATGCGTTTGCTGATTTGTCTCCGTATGTCTGGTCCGCTGTCGCCATTATGATGGAAAAACTATGACAGAGTCAAGATGATACTTAAGAAAAGAAGACAGACAATGAGAGATTGAATGAAGGAAAAATAGAGGTCATGTCTGCTAGCTTTTCTCTCACTGTGAAAGGCTGAGTCTATGCTACCAGCTTGTTATGGAAACTGTAGCTGTAACTGTAATAGGGTAGCAACAACTTTGTAGGTTTTTCTCACTAGAAAGAGAAGAGAGCTGCTGACCACTTGCTTCTTTGCAACATGCACAGACAACCTCAAATTATCTACACCTACCATCTGTGTCACATAAGAGTACATATTGACATAATCGAAGTTATGTGGTAAAAGTTGTTTTTGTGTGTTGCATGGCAACCACGACAACTGATATCATCTCACACATCTAGAAAAGGCCCGTATCTGGATTTCATAAATGTACATTAAGTGGGTTAATATGTTCCACTCTCACCACTCTCCTCTCACTCTCAGTTGTCTAACATGGTCACACACCGTCTTTCGTTTCTCCCCCTCCAGCCTGTCCTTCACAGCTGCTGTGTTTTCCATATTTGTTTGTCTGTCTTCTTGCATCAGAAGTAGAGCAAAATTCAACCTACAATTTGCTAAACCCCTCTGCCCTACAGCAATGATTCAATCATAGCTTAGCAACTATAACTATGCATGTTAGGCCTGTCAAGCGTTGGGATTTCTTCATGTAAAAGTGGTTGGGGGGCTGCAGTAAAAGTGATACTCCACATTTAAAGAGTTTGGAGCATGGTTAGGATAGTTTTAGTCTTTTGAGAGCCAAACACAAGATATGTCATGCCATATTTAGACAGTCTGATACACTCTGTGTGTAAAATGAAAATCCACAAGCACAGAATTGACATCCACAAATAAAAACTGGATTCATAAATTCCTGTTCGGAAGTTGTAAATGTTAGGAAGATATTTTTATTATTCATTTGTGAAATGTTATGAAATTTGTGAATTTGCAGATCCGTTAAATATTTTTGGAGTTTATAAATCTTTGTATTTTTGGATGGTGTTTTATATTTATATACATACACATACACATACCTTGAATTGACACACAGCTTGTTGATCTGTTGACACAAATTACCTGCCGGTCAAACACAGGAGTACTTTCAGTGAAAGACTCATCCCTCCAAAATGCACCACAGGAAGTAATTCCATCAAACTCCTACCTCAGGATGTCAGACAATCTGACTCATAGTCATAAAACTGGACCTTTGAATGTTACTCAGTACTTGATTGATGTGCAATATAGCAGTTTATTCTGTCTAGATACTGCAGTTTGAGGATTTAAATCTATACCAGCTCTCCACATTAGCAGTGCTCATTATTAATACTAAATACTATTCAATACTATTTATTCATTACATTTCTGTCACATACTGTAGCCTACAAAATCCATTTTCATAATGTCTTGTTACGTGAGCAACTCTAACAAAACAAATCTCCCCTTGGGGATTGATAAAGTATTTCTGATTCTGAAATAATAATATTATAATTATCCATATAGTGTAACTAAGGGAGATGGGGTATAATGGTTAAAGTTACAGCTCCTGCAACTGAACTTTTGTTTTTAGTTTTAAGTTGTTAAGACTCTAACCAAAGTGTCCTCACACTTTTTCGAGTATTATTAAGCTTACTTGAAGGGCTACTTGTTGAGTCATCATGAAACCTTATCTCAATTTAGTGATGTAATTCATTTCAATGTGTTTTAGCTTGGAGATTCATGTCAAAACGATATGATAGTGCCCCTTTAAATGGTATCATGTTACCACCCCTTTTCCTGTGAACCACACCATTGTATCATGGACTTCACTTGAAGAGAGGTAATCCTGCATTCATCTCCAGTCTGTTTTTTATGCTGTGTGGGGGGTTGAGAAAACACAGAAGGTCTGTCACTGGAATTGGGTGAAGGGCTGAACATTTGTGGAGAAAGGCCGACAAGTAGGAGGAGACAGAGAGTAGGAGTTGAGGAGATATGGAACGGATACAAGAGTATTTACTGGCAAAATTCAAGTTCAGCAGCAGCTGTTTGAGTGTTAGTCATCACCCCTTCTTCGTTCACTGCTCCCCCCCTCCTCTTTCCTTCTGCCTCTCATGAGACTGTTGTGAATAGCTCCTGAAATAGAGCCCACTGGAGCGTAAAGGGAAATGTGAAGACAGAGGGGGGGTTTGTGCAAGCAATGTGATACGCGGCCAGTGTGAGAAATGTGTTGACATGGAAGATATGGAGTGAAAGAAAACGCAAGAAATAGTGAGGTGAGAGAGACAATCCACACAAACAAGTGAAAAAGAGAGACATAGAGCGAGAGAGAGGCAGAGAGAGAGAGGCAGAGAGAGAGAGCGAGAGAGGCAGAGAGAGAGAGGCACAGAGAGAGAGCGAGAGAGGCACAGAGAGAGAGAGCAGAGAGAGCGAGAGAGGCAGAGAGAGAGAGAGGCAGAGAGAGAGCGAGAGAGGCAGAGAGAGAGAGCGAGAGCAAGAGAGGGGTGGAGGTGGGTGGGGAATCAAGGGGAGAGCTGTGTGTGCTCAGTCTAAGTCTGAATCTAAGAGAGGAAGAAAGCTGGTGAAGGTTCACTGTGATTGTTCCTTCCACACAGAATTATTCTCAACTGAAAAAATTCATCCTTTTAATGTTCACTTTTTGTTTTTTTTATCTCATACTTTGTGGATCTTATGTACCTTGGAAAACAAAGAAGTCTGAAAAATACTGAAATCCTTCTTGAACTTTGTGACAGGATCTAAACTTCTTTTTTCAGGACATCAGGCAGATTTACAAGATTTACAACTTATTTATCGTTCTGATAAAGTCATCAGCTGTGTGGAAATATTGGTTTGCCTTTGACATGGGGTCTGGGAAGGAGCTACTTATTCTTGGTAAGTCTATCAATGAGAGCGCAATGGGTGTGTGTGTGTGTGTGGAGGGGGGTGTGTGACTGGGTGGTGAAAAGGTGAAACAAAAAGTACATACAGGGAAGTTTGGAAATGTTGTAATACTTTAGTGGATGTACTTATACTTTTTGTGTCAGCCAGACATACAGATTTGTATCAATATGTAGCATTGATTTTATTTTATTTTTTAAATTTAAGTTAGTTGATTTATATAAAATATATTATATATTAAATATAAAAAATAAGAAGCGCTGCACTGGGTCAAAAACAATGGTAGTGGTAATACTGAATAAAAATATTGAGTGCAATTCAGAGATGGAGCCAGTAGTTGAATGACAAAATAACAGAAAAATGACTATACTATATAATAAGTATAACCAACGCCTTTTGACTCAGAGAGTCTTCATCAGGCAGTAATATACAGTAATGTAGACAACACTATACCAAGGTACAAGGTAAATTTAATTGTCATTCTACCACTGGGTTGTGAAATGAAATGCAGTTTGTAGGTCCCTTCTGCTACAAAGCAGACACTATATACAAATATTACAAAATGGTAAACAGAAATCCATACACAGAAATTTAAGAATTTCATAGCCTGAATGAAAAAGCTGCTGCTTTGCAGATAATTATCTTCCAGAATGCAGCAGGGTGAACAGGCTGTAACTGCAGTAGGTACTTTAATTTAGTATCCTTTGTGCCCTGTAACAATCATCTTCTGAGCATTTTTGATCACCGGCTGCAGAGCCCTCTAGTCCTGCATGCCAATTTGTCTGCAAATCTAGATTTGTCTGCAAATCTGGTCTAAAATTGGTCTAAAAAAGAACCTTGGTGTTTGGTTTGATAGTAATTTAAATTTCGAGCAGCACACCACAAAGCTTGTTCAATCATGTTTTTATCAACTTAGAAATATAGCAAAAATTCGATCTATGTTAACTTTTAAGACACCGAGACCATTTTACACGCCTTCATCTCATCACGCCTGGATTATTGCAACAGCCTTTTCACCTGTTTAACCCAAAAATCTATTGATCGACTCCAGACTGTCCAGAACTCAACATTACTCCTATTTTAGCTTCATTACACTGGCTCCCAGTATGTTTTAGAATTGACCTTGAAATTCTATTGATCACTTTTAAATCTCTTCATGGCCTCTCGCCTTGTTATATTTCTTACCTTTTAGTCCCATACGCACCAGCACGTACCTTGAGATCCTCGGGCAGAGGTCTGTTGTCTGTTCCAGAGTCTCGACTGAAAACTAAAGGGGACAGAGCGTTTGCTGTCAGGGCCCCGAGGCTCTGGAACAGCCTGCCCGAGGAAATCAGGTCGGCTGAGTCAGTGAACTCTTAAGTGCCTTCTTAAAACATACTTTTATAGGAGAGCTTTTCCCGATCTTATTTGACTTTATTTTATCCCTTTTATTTTATTGTATTTTACTAATTTTATATAAATTTTTCATGCTCTTATCTTATCTTATTTTTGTATTATTCTTTACACTTGTTAAAGCACTTTGTAACTTGTTTTTGAAAAGTGCTCTACAAATAAGGATTATTATTATTATTATTATTATTATTATTGGTGATGGTTCCAGTCAGGATGCTTTCGATTGCTCCTCTGAAGAAATTGACATTGGTGTGGGAATTTGGCCTTCTTAAGCTTCCTCAAGACATACAGTCGTTTCTGAGATTTCTTCACCTGCATGCAGATGTGAGATGACCATGTCATGTTCTCTGTGTTACTGATTACCAGGAACCTGAAACTGTTTACCTGCTCCACCTCAGCTCCACTGATATAGACAGTGAGTGTGTGTCTTTGTCTCCTTTTGCCTAAAATCAACAATCGGCTCCTTAGTTTTGCTGATGGTGAGCAGTAGGTTGTTGTCTGTGCATCACTCAGCTTTAGATTTGATTAGAATTTTTTAGAAAGATTAGAAGTTTCGAACAGAAGAGAATAACATCACAATATAGTTTAGCAACACTTTGTTTGTCATGAAATGCTGTGTAGAAATCTATCTATGTAAATGCTATATCTCATGACAAAACAAACAAACAAGTTATAGGAAGTAGAAAAAGTCTAGTTCTTCACCAAGAAGAAGGAAGTGGCCCTAAGGGTATTCACCCAAAAAGTCTCCCATTGAAGGAGACGTTTGAGTTTGTTGCCACCCCTTGCATTTTGTGTAATGACTTCTAAGACCATGGCTTTTGAAGTGTCTGGGTTAGTATAGCCCATGGTCCTATAGTGCTCAGCCATGGGCTAATTGGGGATGTGGATCCTAATAGCGTATTTGTGCTCAGCCAATCCCTCCCGCATGCTTGCGTTTTGTGCATAATGCAATCATCTGTCAGTATTACAGATCCTCCTAAGCCTCTGAAACTATCTAATATTTGATATGAGGCTTTTTGGCTGGAAGTTGCCTTTAAGAAGAATGTATTTCCTGTACATCTGCGTGTGCAAATATTCATGTAGATCTCCAGTGAATCTCAGGTCCAGAAAGTTTACGTCTGCATTATAGTATTCTAAACTGAGTTAGATATTGGGGTTAGTGGTATGTTTTGAGGTAATGAAAATGAGTGAGTTTTAGTTCCCTGAAAAGATGAAAAAATGATTACTTGTTTCCTTGTCACACTATTGATTCATTCAAAAGCAGAAGTACTCAAAAATAGCACTAACAGCAGCCCTGAACAGTATTTTCATATTAACGACTGATGAGCTTGACAGCATTTTAGCTTCTTTTAGCTCATTGTTTTAATTTTCTGGCCCACAATGTTGCGGTTTTGGTTTTCACAACTCTCATCAACTTTGTGTCCTGCAGTAGAAGACATTTGCTTTCAGTGTTAAAGCTCTGATATACCCACTGTATACTATACTTTGCACTGGCTTGTGAATGTGGTGGAACCTTTAGCAGCTTAAAAGTCAAGGCTGCTGGCCCTATGTGTTTAAAAAGAAAAGGAAAAAAATCAAGTAACTCAGTTTTATAGTAATGCATAGCCTTCTATATTTTTGGATTTCAACAATTTGATATTGGCTATGGCCTAAAAGAAGCCCTGATTGAGGGGGATGAAGCATAGTTCAGCATTTGTCCCTCATGTTTGAAAAGGTGTTTCTGAGGGAACACAATATGAGACACTATTGATGTTTTTTCTTTTGAGGAGCTATTCCTGGATTTATGACCCTAAAAATAGTAAATTATTTTATACTATAAGCCAGAACAGCTGCCTTTGTTCATACTATGATGTCAAACACAAACTGGAGCCCCTGCAAGTTTTGTTTTATTGGTAATCAATAAAATCTTCATCATTGTAATTTGTTTACTGAGTGCCAAGCATTGCTTAGGTTGTGTTCATAACTTCCACTTTCTATCAGGCTTAAATGTAATGGACTAGAGACAGACAGACAAAAAATGCTACACACAGCTTACAAAGAAATGTGAGAAAGAAGAGACATACAGAGAGGACAGCTTATATGACAGACAACTATTGTCATTCACCACTGTGCTTACTGGTGAATGAAAGTCAGCTGCGAGCTGACAACAAAGTCAGTCTTTGTATACTTTCAGGATCTGTTTCTGTATGCAGTTATTTAGTCAAGACGTTAGACTCGGTCACAGTCTCACATACTCACTGTCACTGAGAGATTTGGGGTACTTTTTTACTTACACCATGTGGACAGGACGTTGTTTTCTGCCTTACCAGTGACTCATGAGTCAAAAAATGTGACTTATATTTGTCAGTTGTCCTGTGTAAGTAATGTGACAGACAGGGGGTGGAGTCATGGGTGGAGTTTAGCAGGAGGAAGAAAAAAAATTACACTAAAATGGATCATGCACATATGTAATTCAACAAAACTGTGGACACATATGTTAAGCTCACTTACTAGCTGTGTTAAGGGATTTAAGTAGACAAGAAGCTGCACTTTTTGTGAAATATGTCCTCATTCTCAGAGGAATGGGAAAGACAAACACACACAAAGACTCACCTGAACTCTCTCTAGTTAGACCCAACAAGTTAATGAAAATACTCTTTACAGCCATACTGTTCAATTCAATTCAGTTTTATTCATACAGTGCCAAATCACAACAACAGTTATTTCATAGCTCTTATCATAAAAGAGCAGGTCTAGACCGTACTCTGTGATGTTATCTACAGAAACCCAACAATTCCCACCAGGCAGATGCCTACACAATATCCACACAGAAGTACAGACAGTAAAGGCAATATTGGTACAGACTTAATTACTAAAGGTACAGACTAAAATGTAAAAATGTGTCTCTGTGTGCTAGGTAGGGTAGAGTAATCAATAATAAATCAATCAATAATCTTACATGCTCACAATGAATGTACTTACTGGATGTTTAGCGTGCTAAATGAAAAGTTAAGGGATTACCAGAGTTATTACAATTTATCCTGAGAGGCACATAAATGTCTGAACAATAATTCATGGCAAGCCATCCAAAAGTATTGAGATATTTCACTCAAAACATCAGGTGATGACCAAAGTCCAGAATTGGGTAGATTAGTTTGGAAATATAATAAGTTACTGATTACAAGTTACACAATTTAAAATGGAATAGTAATGGCTTAGGGTTAGGGTAACTAATTCAATTACTTTATCAAAGTAATGTAACGTATTACATGTAATTACTTTTGATTACTTTTCTAAATTTCTCATGAATGTTTTCAGCTATTAACCATTTTCAAAAGACTGCTTGAGAGGCAATTAAACTGGCAGAGGGGCGGTGATGCAAATTCAAACATGAGAATCAATCAAAAGCATTAGAATATCATCAAACTTTACTAAATGATTGTAGCTGGAAATGGCAAAGGAAGACACTGTGCACATGGAAAACATGTAAAGCTAGGCTATATGTAGAACAAAATCAATATTGTTCTACATATAGCCTAGCTTTTTACAGAAAATATTCAAATGTAACCCCCAATGTGATCGTGAACATTTTCATAAGTAACTATAATTTAATTACACAGTTTTTCCCAGTAACTGGAACAGATTACAGTTATTCAAAGAAGGTTAAACATGTAACTAGTTACTCCCCATCACTGCCATAGTCAAAGGTTTCCACCTCTAGGAACCATGAATGTCTGTCCACTATTTTATGACATCATCCAGTATCTGGAGAGATATTTCAAAGTTTTGGGCCAACTGACCTTTCCACAGACTGACTCATTGCCATCCCTAGAGCCATGCTGCTAGCATGGTTAATAAAGTCCACAAACCTCTCCTAATACTGTATATAGTTCCACATTTCCACTGTTGATCCATTTATGCTCCAAATAACTGTCACTTTACCAATTCTATTTTTATTGTATGTGTTCTTTTACATTCCTCTGTGCTGCTGTGTCAACCACAATTTCCCCTACAGGGGATCAACAAATATCTTATCTTATCTTAATGAATCATTAAATATTCCATTTCCACTGAAATTTGGGGAGTTATGAGTAGATAATATTGCATGTACTGGTAATGTACTTATCTAGAGTAGCTCGATGGACAACCGATATATGCTGCAGGAGTTATTTGAGAAGTTTCTGCTGTTGTTTTGATATTTTTATTTTACTCTGGGTCACCATTGAACCCAAGCAGGCTACATCTGCTTTATCTTTAGTGAGGGTCCTTTAAAAAGAGGAACACTGGACATACCTTTTGATATGTATCCTAAATCATATGCATTCTTACTGGAAATCATGTAAAAGCTTTACAGCAAAGTTCATGTAATCCTCAATTTTCAGTTGGGGGAAGTTTTGTTATATTTTGCATTAAGGGGCAGGCACAATTATTAAAATAGGGCACCGCTAATATGCGCAGGATTACACACATTTTTAATTGTTGCTCAAATGTTGCACCGTCATCAGTGAAGCCCAAGTCACAACTCAAGGGTGACTTTTTTTTGTGCAAAAAATATTCTTGGAATTTTCTCATAAAGAATAAAGCATAAAAAATGGTAAATCCCACAGGTGTGGTTGCTCTTTTTTATTGTGTCTTCCTTGTTATTGGAAGATTTTGCCTTTACTGTGAATTTAAATAAAGTACCCTCTCTTTTTTTCCCCCACAGGCTTATTGTGTATGCTGCGGAAATGTTTCTCTGCTTGCACCTGGGCTTCGAATCAAAAGGCCGTGTCTGTGTTGGTAATAACCTGCTTTGACCTCTAGTTTTAACCATCCCTCTCAATGTCTTGCTTCTGCCCACCAATGCTTTATTGTAATTCCTACTTAAGACAAGAACTCTCAGAAATAAATGGTTTTCTCATTGTGCAATACCTCTTACTGGAGTGGACCAGGAAACGTTCCACTTCGTTTTTCCATTTTAGGCATTTAAGCAACGCTCATATCAGGAGTGGATTGCAATGAAATCCACGTTAGAAGAGGTTTAACTTCTTAGATCATCACAATTTCAAGCAACCAGCAGAAAGTACAAAAATGCTCAAACGGCAGTGCTGTAACCTCAGTGTCATAGTGGACAGAGGAGCTAGAGGAAAAACAGCTATTAAAGACTGCTTAAATTAAAATGACAAGTTTTACTATTTACTGACAGAGAATAAAACAGGGTTTTACATTTTGTAATATGCATTAAACAGATCTATCAGATTTATGACTATAATTGTATTGTTTGTGCTTCGTGTAATTGTATCTAAATTTCCAGATACGAATGAGTGCATAGACCCCGGATTCTGTGGGAATCACTCAAAATGCTTCAACACGAATGGCAGCTACTATTGTCAGTGCCAGCATGGGTTCACAAACAATCATGGGAAAAGTAACTTCAAAAGCACAGAGGGACAGTGCATAGGTGAGTGTGTGTGTATGTGTGTGACCAATGTCTCTTTTGTGTCCAACCGGTCTTACCCACCTTTACTTGTTCTTCCGTCAGATTTTAACGAGTGCCTCGATAATTTCAGTATCTGTGGTCCTGCTGCTAATTGTTCTAACCATATTGGAAACTACAGCTGCACCTGCCACGCTGGGTACACAACTGCCAACAGTAGCCATGTAGGCTGCATAGGTGAGTTGAGTCTAATTTTCTGTGTCAACAGCTTGGAGTTGATTGGTGCTGTACTGTGAGTTTGCGGCTCAAAATCCTAAAACAATATGCTCAACAGAATCATAAAGGTGTAACCCCAACTGCTGGGACAAAGAGAACAGGAGAGTGAGGGAGATGTCAGTCAAGTATGGTCTGCACGTGGTCCTGAAAACTCTGGTGTGGGTATCAGTGCTTGTTGGATCATCTCCACTAAATTATCGTTGGGGGTTTGTCAGGGACCAAGCAGTAAAGGCAGGGACACAAGGTCAAATAAAGTTTAGGCTTTATTTAGCCAACAAATCAAGTAAAGTTTCAAACCATCCATCCATCGTCAAGGGTCGCCAATCCCAACTGACATTGGGCAAATGGGGGGTACACCCTGGACAGGTCACCAATCCATCGCAGGGCCACACATAGCCTGCATGTCTTTGGACGGTGGGAGGAAGCCAGAGCAACCGGAGAGAACATGCAAACTCCACACAGAAAGGATGGGGCAACCGGGGTTTGAACCCACCACCCTCTTGCTGTGAGGCAACAGTGCTAACCACTGTACCACTGCACCACCCAGTTTCTAACCATATTACACACAAAAAAAAGGTATCAACAGAATTACTCAAAGTGGGTCTTAACTAAACTAAGGTCAACGTAACAATACTACAACAGTCTGAACATAACAAACCTGACCTCCTGAATGACATAAAAGGACGGGTATATATGCACACAGGCTAGCCTACACTAAACAAAAAGGGGGGAAACTTACTATAATTAAAAAGACCCAAAATAAACCAAACAACCAACCAGGAGAAAATACTAACCAAACAAACATTACTGAAACCCATTAATCTAACACAAACAAAATATCCACATGCTGCTGTGTTGTTAAGGATTTTGCAATTCTGACAATTTGTGTGACACAACACAACAGGCTACAAGTTCTAAGTGACAGTGAGCAAGGTTTGAACTTCCTCTTGTTTTGTCATATTTCACACTGCTTTCATAACCTTTTTAATATAACACCCCCACTCCACCCACCCCACCCCCTGAGGAGAATGTGTTATTTTTTCAAAGATTTCTTTGAGCTGAACAGCTAAGAGGTTGGAGTCTTTTGGAGAAATCTGAGCTGATCTCATAACTCCTTGTACTCTAAACTGAACCACAACACCATCTCCTGCCTCCCACTACTTCAAATTGCAGCTTTTAACTGGCAAGACAGCATCTCACGACACTGGTTGACGGGAAAGTTCAGCACTGTCTCCAAGATCCTTTTGCCACAAATGAAAGACTCTCACGACCGTGCCCCTGGTTACATTGCGGGGATGTTTGCAAGGTTGTGTTGAAATGTGGTGAGGACATAGGAGCTCAGATTAGGTGTGTGAAGAGGTACTTAGCTCGTGAGACAAAAAGATCCTTAAACAGTGAATTAAAGATATCCTCAATGCCTCGATACGGGGTACTCCCCCAGAAAATCTTGACCATTAAACACTTCATTTCCTGCATTCTGGTGAAACATTCTGCATTTATGGTGGAAATGTTTATATTTATGTAAAAGGAAACACAAAATTTCAATATTTCAAAATATTTAAATATAATATACTGCAGTGCAGCTCTCAGGTGTTCTGTGTTGCTTTCAGATCAGTTTCTCCTGTAGATCAACTTTTCTCATCATCCCTGCTGAGGCAACACATACTGTATTTGGACATGCTTTAGTCTTCCTTCCTCTTTTGTCATGTTCAATAGGAAATCACAGAAAACTTTGCCAAAAAGAAACTGTCAAGAAGTCGAAATTTTTGGGTCATTTTATAATCAGTAGCTTGTGTTGTGTTTTTTTTTGCTTAAGTTGCTTTTTTTGGCAATGTTCTATATTTTAATTGCTGAATTTTTTCTTAATGTGCAAATAAGCCTTTCTAAAGGCATTTTCATTTATTATTTAAATGCAAGCTATGTTTCAGCTTGTTTTCAACGAATTATGCTTTAAAAAAGTTGTGGGGACAAAATCAGCCATTTCAAAACGTGGTGGAGACATGTCCCCAGTTTGTTCTTGCAATACCTGCTGTAAACGAATCTGTTTCAGACAGTATTATCAAAAGCATTGCCCTTGAGGAATGTAAATAGCTACTTATGTCTCTGTTCCCTCTCCCTACACAGACATTAATGAATGCAAGGAAGCCAAAAAGAAAGGGGAAGACCTCTGTGGAGTAAACGGGACTTGTGAAAACATTGACGGGAGTTACAAATGCAAGTGTCCAAAGGGATACACTAATTATGGCGACGAACAGACCAAATGCTCAAGTGAGTGTGTGCATATACAATTCCTCTCCATCACATACTTCATATTTCAAATGTATTTCATGTCCTCTTATTTTATTCCTATATATATATATATATATATATGTGTGTGTGTGTGTGTATATATGTATGTGTGTGTGTATATATAAATATGTGTATATATGTGTGTGTGTGTGTGTGTATATGTATGTGTGTGTATATATAATATGTGTATATATGTGCGTTTGTGTGTGTGAATATGTATGGGTGTGTGTGTATATACTGTATGTGTATATATATGTATTTATTAAATTAAATTAAAAAAGTTTCACTTACTTACTGTGTTCAAGTGTTCTCATGAAGTCAAGTGTTAAACTCAACTGGTGAGATGATGGTGTGATGTTTCGTCCCGTTCTATCTAGAGCTTTCCTGTGACAACTTCAATGCAGACAGTGGGCCTACACTGGTAAGCTGCATTTTAGATACCGAATTATTAGCATGATGATGCATCCACCTGCAACAATCAGAAAAAATTAAGCTCTTAGAGAGGACTTATCTTTACACTGTGGATGACCTTTTAAATGTAATCTGTGTTATAAAAAGATGTAAAAAATAAAGTTTACTTGCTTCCTTATCTACACTTGTCCCTGCCCTTTCCTCAGCCCCAGGTGAAGTATCCTGTTAAAGAACGTTTGAGCTCATTTCCTTTATTTACTAGACCACCCTGTGGCCCAGTAGGGTTTAGTAAACATGAACTTTAGTATAGGGCAATCTGAAAAGCCTCATTATTCTGTCTCTGTCTGTCAGTCGCTTGGAGGCCTGGCAGACATTTTGTTCATGATGAGAAACAGCTGTTTGGCTCTGTCTAACCCAAGTGCCGCTAGTGAAGGGAAGGCTGATGGAGAAGCGCTACTGGAGGTCAGAGCAGCAGATGAAAAAAACACGTACATACATATTCTTACATATACAAACACTTACAGTATATAAATTGTATTATTGTGTTCTGCAACTTGACAGAAACTTTTCACAGCGATCGACAGCGTCCTGTCCCCTGGTCACGTGAACAGCAGTGAAGATGTGAGCAGATTACTCGGTTTGGTAGAGAGCGCCATTATGCTCATTGGTCCACAGCTCAAACACAACCACACTAAGATGGAGACCAGTGAGACAGGTAACAGTGTTCCTAAGCTCTGCACACTGTTTTTGGACATTTATAAGCTTAGAAATGGCCTTTTCCATGGACAATGATGTGTGCAGAGTTTAATAAATAAAAGTAGGAAAGCTAATGTAAAGTGTTTCATTTGAAATTAGTTATCTGTTCAAATAGACACAGAGATTGCAGTGCAGAGGGGAAAGACTCCACCCACCGGATCAATCCATCTGAACAATGAGAATGCTACACTCGACACTGACTGGACAACAGCAGCTGGCACGGGACCATACCCTGGTAACCTTCTCTTCTCTTAAGACAAACAAGTCCCAGTTTTCATGTATATACTTTCATGAATATTATTATTGTCTTTTACAGGTTTTGCTCTGGCTGCATTGTTGAGCTACAAGAACCTTCAGAGCTCTGTTAACCAGTACTTTGATGAGCTCACAGGACATGAAAAAGATGGTGTGAATCCCACCTTTCAGATCTCCTCTAGAGTTGTGTCTGTTGTAGTTTCCAACCCATCTACTCAGAACTTGAGACGCCCTGTCAACATCACCCTCAGACATCTACAGGTAGTCCCACTTGACCCACAGCCTTCCGGTGTGGACCCACTTTTAGCAGAACTTCTTTCAATCATAATAGTCAAAACAGTCAGCAGTACTGGAATATTAAGAACATACAGCCTGCTTTTGACATGATGGTTTTGTTTTGTGCATAGGACATGGAGGAGTCCCATGAGGTCAGCTACATCTGTGCATACTGGAGTAATAAAGGGGCCTGGTCCACAGATGGCTGCTATCAACAACACTCCAATGCCACACACACTGTGTGTAAATGTGAACATCTGAGCAGCTTTGCTGTGTTAATGGCACTCTACCCTATGGAGGTAAGATGCAGACACATGGACACACACAATGCTGTGTTTACCACTTGTTTATGCTTCCTCTAAGTGGCCTAAAGATTAGCTATTGCTGTGTCAGTGTAAACACCCCCCCCCCACCACCACCACCACACACACACACACACACACACACACACACACACACTATGTTGTAGATGATGACCTTAGGACTCCAATTAAACCCCTCGGGATCTGACCTGTCTTCTCCACTAGCACACCTTCGGGCTCCTGTTGGTGACCAAGATAGGGCTGACCATCTCCCTGCTGTGTCTCATACTGTGCATCCTGACGTTCAAGTTCTGCCGCTCTATACAAGGGACCCGGACCACCATTCACCTGCACCTCTGTGTCTGCCTCTTCATGGCTGACCTCATCTTTCTGGCTGGCATTTCACAAACTGAACCTGTGGTATGTTTGTGCAAGCAAATAGCGACTTCAGTTACACGGACTGCAATAATCTGACTTTATTAAGAAAGTAATTTGATTGTCATGATCATCAAAAATGGTCTTTTACACGGATATGAAAGTATCGTCTTTATCAGGTTACTGCTGTAAATGATAAAGAGACATTTCATTCCTCAGCTCCCTCCTCGCTGATCGTTTCTTTCTTGTTATATTCTACACATTACATTACAGGGTGGCTGCAGGTTTGTTGCAGTGATGCTCCATTTCTTCTTCTTGGCGGTGTTTACCTGGATGCTGTTAGAAGGGGTTCAGCTGTACCGTATGGTGGTCCTGGTGTTCAATGCCAACATTCGGCCCCTCTACTTATTCCTCACTGGTTATGGGACACCCCTAGTTATAGTCAGTTTATCTGGCATCATTAGGCCAAAGGGATACGGCACTAACCAGCAGTAAGTGTCACAGTCTGTGTTTGCATACTTAATGTGTGATATCGATGACATCAGTGGATTACACAGACCTGCTGTTTATCTATCTTGGTGACGTAAGGAAAACTCTGTCATGCACATGTTTCCTTCCTCCTACCCAGCTGCTGGCTGTCCTTGAAAGACGGCCTCATCTGGAGTTTCTTCGGCCCCGTGTGCTTCATCATCATCCTCAACGTCTTCTTTTTCATCGTCACCGTCTGGAAGCTCGCCCAGAAGTTCACCAGCCTCAACCCAGACCTCTCTAAGCTACACAAAATGAAGTCAGTCTGTTTGTTTGTTTGCTGCTCTTTGTGAGTCTTCTCATGCTGTCGTAATGTGTGAAGTAATTAATATGACCCTTGCCTATTCCCATGCACAAGCAAGCACTGAGTTAATACATATGTTGGTCAAATTGCACAGCTTTGGGAGCTGAAAAATGCTTAGATGGAAAGAATGTGAGGGTTTTTGGGGGTGGGGGAATGTAAAGAATGTTTTCACAGTACTGGCTCTGCTCTGTAATGGGGTGCTACAGAGGGACTTCTCCCCCCAAATCCATCTATGCATGCTTTTACTCCACTCCACAACACTGTATAAAAACCTGCAGCTGCAAAACACATCTTAGCTTTAATGCAAAAAAACATCCATCCCTAAATACACTGGTTCATCAATCAGTGACATTCAATTTAGTCCAGGAAATTGGGAATGTTAACATATTGTGCAGCTTTTCAGTTAAGAAAAACAGTTTCTGTAGTTTCTGTCAGTGGAAGAATTTGGATCTCATCCACATTTCAGAAGGATTTCTCCTTGTCTGATTGATGAATTGTTGGTATAGCCGGTGAGTCTGGAAAAAAACACCCTCTGACTCTGAGGGGCTGAACTCAAAACCTGGTCTCCACTGGCATTTTAGATGGTTAATAGACTGTTGATCTCCTTTGTGAATTGTATCGCTGGTTATTAATGGGAATAAGAGTGATACATCGCCAAATATAACAAAAGACGCATGCAGAGTACATTGCCGGAAACTCTTAAAAAAAAAAAAAGTTTTTCTGCAAGAGTTCTTTCCTTTAAGCCAATCTTTTATATTTATCAGTGACTTTTGGCTTTTCTTTGTCCACTGGCTTTCAACAGACTTAGCAAACTGATGTGAAAATATCTGTTTTGTTGTAGCTGCTTTCCAAAGAACCCATGCCCCTTTTCTCACCCTTTCCACTCTTCAGGGGGTTTCCATATATCAGTGTTAACTGAGTCATCCATGTGTCTGGTCTCATGTTAATCTTTCCTTTCATTTTCTATTTTTTGTCCTTTTCTCTGAACCCCCACTCTACAACCTCCTTTTATCTCTGCAGAGCTTTCACAGTGACAGCTATCGCCCAGATGTGCATACTGGGTCTGATGTGGGTGTTTGGGGCCTTCCTGTTTGAAGAAAGCTCCATAGTGGTTGCATATATCTTCACTATCCTCAACAGCCTGCAGGGAGCGCTGGTCTTCATCATGCACTGCCTCCTGTCTAAACAGGTAGGATAGTAGCTGTGTGTCTGTGTGCGTCTGTGTATGTGTGTGTAACTGTGTCTGTATGCATGAGGCTAAGAGAGAGATTAACACAAAATAACAACTACAAGAGCAAGTGTAACAACAAAGACACTAGATTGCATTGAACTAAGTTCCCCCCCTGATGTTCTGCTGCCCTCTGCAGGTGAGAGACGAGTACGCCCATTTCCTCTCCTGTATCTGCACACCAGAGAAGAAGAGATTGTCAGACTTCAGCAGTACCAATCCCTCCAGCAGTCAGTCACAAGTAAGCATGAAGTGTCCTCACTCACTAGCACTCTCTCCAAGTCACAAACATATACTCAACTATTGTGCTTAAGTCCAATTTTGAGGTATTGTACTGAAGTATTTCCATTTTGAAAATACCTGATGCTTCATCTCCACAACATCTCAGAAGGAAATGTAGCTACATTTATCTGTCATTTACAGTAATGTGTTACTTTCCAGATTAAACTTTTACTTACAAAGTATATTATTTTATAAAATGTGATACATTGTTAGAGATCAAGCTACCCTACAGTATATTGGGTAGTATAGTAACTGTATAATTATCCCCACCATGACCAACTACAACATGAAGACTGTTTGCATACTTTTACATTTGATACTTTTAAGTACATTTTGTTGGTAATACATAAGAAGTTTTACTTGTTGTGGAGAATTTTTACATTATGGTTTTGCTACTTATATATAAAGTTGTCCTTCTACCAGTACGTTGTCTTACATTGTTTCTGAACTTGGGTTGTTTGTGTTCATTTAGGGTTCTCGGAGTGGGCCGATCACTGGAGAGTCCCAAATATGAAGCACTCTATCTTTTATTCTACCCCTAAGACAGACTCTATCACACCTTTAACCAATGTGGGCTGAGTTTGCCCTGATTTTAAAGGTTTGGATCACTTCCAATTAAAGGAATCATTATTTACTCACCTCGATGTCACCTGAACCTCTGTTTTTGTACCATTACAGCAATTGTTTAATAGTACAACTAAAAATGGAACAACCTAAGAAAGATGGAAAAACATAATTCTTTGGGTGAGCTCCTCAAAGCTCATAGACAAATCTAAACCAGGGGTTGCAAATAGGTATGGCTTGGCCCTAAAGTGCCACATGCCAAATAAATTGGGAGCTGCTGCATTAAACACAGGTTAGAATTAGCCCCAGTAGTTACATCCCAGGCCTTTCAGACCCTAATTAAGTTAATGGGACTGGGGTTTTTACAACTCATAAACCATAAAGGATTAGTGTGCAGTAATCCTAAATATGTGTCATTATTGTCGCAGCAGGCAAGAAGCCGCCAACTTCTAAAAGTGTTTATTTCAGACGTCTTTACGTGCAAGTGGAGATATTTCAGTAGCTTATCAGTTCATCCAAAACATATCACAATCATAATATAAGCTGTATTGGAGTGGTTCAAAGTGATACTGATGTATTTATTTTTAAGAGCAGAAGTGTACATTATGTAGGCTGCAAGAAACAATGAGTACTCTTAATGTTTGAGCTGCATTTCATGTACACATTTAAAAAAAATAAGCTACAAAATAAGGGTGGGTGCTTTTTGTTAATGGGATCTTCACGACTTGTAATGACTGATGCTGCAAATGATCCGTAAAGTGCCTCTGATGTTACCTTCCTGTTCCTGCAAATTGCACATGGGCTAGTATGAGGATTTTATGTTGTTTCTTGACAAAATAAGTAATTTTAAAAAAACATTACTTGTGGCTATTTTTAATATTGGTTTGAGCAGTTGAGCAATTGAGCTGTGCCTTTTGTCACTGGTGTATGTCAGGATGTAATTTTTGAAATTATGAACCAAGAAAACAAATCCAGCCCAAAATGGTAGCTTGGGAGATGCACAAAAACAGACCCACCCTTCTGATAAGCCTGCAGCTTCCTGTGAATAAACTGTTTATGGAATAAATCATGTTTTGTATTATAACTGTTAGCCTATGCCTCCACACGTTGTTAGTGACTTTAAAGTATCATATCCCTGAAATGAGAACTGTTTGAGGTCTAACGGGAGTTGTACAGACCTGAGTTTATTTTCTTGCACTATTCCTTTGTAAAAATGATAATCCAGCACATCTTCTCTCACATGGTGCATGAGACTAAAGAAGACTTGAGAACCAGCCTCACTTACAGAACATGATCAGTTCACTTGCCATAATAAAGCTGTCAATTATATATTTTTCTATTTTATAAAAATAGAAAATCAATCTGATGTGATTGGTTTTGTCCTATACAGTATGTTTATATTTAAATTGCCTGACAATTGAATTGTTCTTCAGTTCTTACGTGTGGCTGTACTTTTTTGTGACCATCGATACCTTTTATTCAAGCATTGCAAAATTTTATTATGTGAAAAAGTTACATGCCTTATGCAGCACTTTGTGAATCTTGTTAGAGTATACTATAGGTGTTCTAGTTTGATGGTATATGAACTTATTTTTCTACTTTGTCTTTTTGTATGTTGTTCGGTACTGTTTTCTTTGTGCACCACAATTTTTTATTAAAGCTTCTACTTCATCTGAAAAATCTGTAAAGTTGGTGGTTTATTAGCATTAGTCCCCAGCAGATAGGCTACATACAGTGCATAGATAGATACACTCCTCTCTATCTCTCTCAACAGTGACTATTGTGTCCCAAAGTAACATTTCTGTATGATGAATGTAAGTCATAAAGTTAGCAAACTGACTCTGTGTTAATAGGCTACACAGCAATTGCTCTATACAGTTTATCTAACTTTAGCCAGCAAAAACAAAGTCAGGCTGTTTTATTTGTTATTGAGATAACCTACTTATTGTATTTACATTTTATGCTACTTTATAATTCTACAGTTGAAGGAGAAATATTGAACTTCTTCACTCCAGCTATAATTACACATTACTTTACAGTTTTTAAATATCCATCCAAAACATGATAAACTTCACAACCACTTCTATATAGTGTTACCCAGAATACAACTCTTAAATTTTGCTTGCATTTTTTCAGCAACAGGTTCTGCAGTCCATTTTCATTTTATAATTTATGTTTTGTGTTCAGTTCTTTTATTGTAGCCTATTTTTCCATTGTATATTTACTAAAATAGTTCGACTGTGTGTGTTGATGTGGTTGTTTCTGACTGTTGCTGAAACACACCTCATGAAATCAGCCATTTATAATTATAAATTATACAGTGTAAATTGTTCTAGCGGTGTCATTTAAAAAAAACAACTATTTATTACAAAAGAGATAGCCTACATACAGAATCACAGAACAACGTCAGAGAGCCAATACATTTCCCATATCACAAATATATATGCATAAAAAAAATCTGCGTAATTAAAACATGTATAAAAAATTTTCTCCTGGCAGGGTTGTGAATCACACAGCAGTGCTGCAGTGACGCAAGAGTTTATGAGTTGCAACCTGTGCTGCTCTCAGCTACAGTATGTGCTGCCACTCTTCACTCACTTTAGTCTTAAGCTCCTGCTCACACTGTGGCTCCACTAAAGAGTTTACTGAGACTTCTTTGGACTCGTGGAAGAGCCCTTTAAAGCACATCGCTGCTGCTAACTTTTGTCTTTATTTCTAGGTGGAACAGGATTTAAATTTTTGGACAGGTAAGCGTCCATTCATCAAAATATATTTATATGTATTGTGATTGTTTTTCTGCATGAAGTCACTGTTTTTACCCACACAGATAATACTATGCATCTGATGAGTGGTGTCCTAGTGTGCCTCTGTGCGTTTGGGGCTGTTAGGCTGCTCTCCCTCCCCTGGTTTTGCAGCTTGTTGGCAGGGCTGGGGCTCTTCGTGGTCTGGAGGGGTTCCTGGAAGTTCATACTTGTAGTTCTACGCACCATCAAAAGAGACCTAATGTAAGTAGCAGGTGTGAATATGCGTGTGTGTGTGTGTTTACGTGCGTCATCTTTCAAGTGGCCTACTCCTTTCCTATTTTTCTTTTATTCCTCCCTTTCCTACTCTCCTCTCCATCTAAAAGGTGTCTGGCTGTGATTCTGCGAGTGAAGTCTTCCATGGACCGTAACCTGCGAAACAGAAGCACCATCCCTGCCCTGTTTGCCCAGATGGTGACCCGGCACCCAGACAAACCTGCTTTTATCTACGAGACTACGGGAGAAGTGAGGACTCAACAAGGAATACAAATAAATGCATGCTTCAATATCAGTCATATTGTTGTCAAAGCTGACTGCATTTCCATGTTCATTATATTCCAGGTTTGGAGTTTCAGGGAGCTGCAGGAGCGATGCCATGCTGTGGCTCACTGGGCACTGGCTCAGGGATGGGCTGAGGGAGATGTGGTGGCCTTGTACATGGAAAGCCAGCCTTTAGTGGCGGCTCTGTGGTTGGGTCTGGCTATGATCGGTGTAGAGACGGCACTCATCAACCACAACCTTCGGCAGCACTCTCTGCTTCACTGTGTTAGCGTGTCTGGTGCTCGGGCAATGGTGTTCGGGACAGAGATGAGAGAAGGTAGGAACATGATGGTAGAATAAAGAAAGAGATACAGTTACATAGCTGGAGACGTTGACTGATTGATACTGGGTATGCAGAGCAGTTGAGTGGAGTGATACATAGCTGAGTGTGATCCTCTGCTAATGCAAAAAAATGTGCATTCTTGTTCTACATTTCTGACTTTTCATTGTCTCCCAGCGGTGTCAGAGGTGAGCGGCTCTCTGCAGCCCGACATGGTTTTTTTCAGCAGTGGTGAGCGGGACGATGATGAAATGCTCAGAAGCCTCCAAGTTCAAAGCCTGGACGCCTTGCTGGACCGTTCGCCCAAACACCCTCCGAACTACACACTCAGGAAGGGATTCAATGGTGAGACTCTGCAGGGTGATTGTGCATAGGGTTACGGGTATGACTGTGTTGCCATATAATGTCCTTGTTACATATTAAAAAGTTTTGATTGCAACACCTTGTATTCCTAAACAAGTCTTTGCCTGTCAGAAAAAACTGCTCTCTGCCAGTTTGGGATTGAATCCACTGGAGAGCACACACCACTGTCAGAGACACCATGAACTCCCTTCAAAGAAATAATATGTCACACATCATTCAAGTGCAAGCTGTTATTTTTATTTGATATAATACATTTAAAATTTACTCTAAACTTCAATTTTGCCTTACTAGGTGATTGATATTTGTTCATAAACTTTTCTCTTATTGGTTTGCTTATCTGTAATAGTTTTCACCTTTGTTATCACATGACATTCCTAAGCTAATACTTTTTACTTTTCAAGTCTTTGCTTGCACAGCCTGTCAGACATACAGAGGTAATGGAAGGAAAGACAGAAATATGTTTAGGAATGATGGGGTGGGGGGAGGGGGGTCCGGGTGCACACACTGGAAACACTGAAATAAACAAAAGACAAAGCATGAAGGTGAACAAAAGTACTTAGCAGTCCCTTAAACATTCAACTGCTAACTCTTCATGTTTCTTTGTCCCCCTCTCCCCTCTCCCTCTCCCTCCATGCAGACAGACTTTTCTACATCTACACTTCTGGTACAACAGGAATGCCAAAACCAGCTGTTGTGGTGCACAGTCGGTCGGTTTTTCTGTGATCTCCTCTAAACTGATAACAATGCATTAAGTTTATGGAGGTTTTAAAAACATCTTGAAAGCCACTCACAGTAGCAACTTTTAAGGTGCACCAGCTCTGATGATTTGCTCACACACATTTGCTGATTATTTTTGTCACCTGTATGTCATTTGTTACTGTCAAATGATTGCTGGGAGCCCTCCAAAGGTTTTCGAGCGAGTAACTCTTACATTCGGAGTTCAGAAAAATTTTACAAGCTATGAAAAACCTTTAAAAATGTTATATCAGAATCCCTAAATCAGCAGGGGTTATAGGCAGTTCAGTGGTCTGTTAAAATGCCAGGTTCTTGCGATGTAAAAGAATGAGACAAAGATAAATCGTGTCTTTTTCCACCTTTAATGTGACCTATAGTGTGAACAATTCCATTGGAAAACAAACTGAAATCTTTGAGGGGGGGGGGGGGGGGGGGGGGGGATTAAAAACCTTACAATTACCTGGTTGCATAAGTATGCACACCCTTAAACTGATACTGTGCATAGCCCTCTTCAGATCACCCCACAGCTGTTCAAATGGATTCAGGTCTGGGATCTGGCTGGGCCATTCCAAAATGTTAATCTTCTTCTGGTGAAGCCATGCTTTTGTGGATTTGGATATGTGCTTTGCTGTGCTGAAAGGTGAACTTCCTCTTCATCTTCAGCTTTCTAATGGATGGGAACCTGTTCTCTCATAATTCCTTCCACACTGACTAAGGCCCCGGTTCCAGCTGAAGAAAAACAGCCCGAAGCATGATGCTGCCACCACCACGCCTCACTGGGTTTGCAGTGTTGTTTTTGTGCCAAACATACCTTTTGGAATTATTGCCAAAAAGTTCTACCTTGGTTTCATCAGACCATAACACTTTTTCCCCACATGCTTTTGGGGTACTTGATTTTTGTTTTTGCAAACTTCAGCCGTGCTTCGATGTTTTTCTTTGTAAGAAAAGGCTTCCATCTTGCCACCCTACCCCATAGCCCATTCATATGAAGAATATAGGAGATTGTTGTCACATGTACCACACAGCCAGTACTTGCCAGAAATTCCTGCAGTTCCTTTAATGTTGCTGTAGGCCACTTGGAAGCCTCCCTGACCAGTTTTCTTGTCTTTTCATCAATTTTGGAGCGACGTCCAGTTGTTGGTAAAGTCACACTTGTGCCCCATTTTCTCCTCTTGATGATGACTGTCTTCACTGTGTGCCATGGTACTGTATATCTAATGCCTTGGAAATTCTTTTGTACCCTTCTCCTGACTGTTATCTTTCAACAATGAGATCCCTCTGATGCTCTGGAAGCTCCCTGGGGACTGTGGCTTTTGCTCTGAGATGCAACTAAGAAAATGTCAGGAAAATTATACTAGAACAGCTGAACTTTATTTGTGATTAATCAGAGTCACTTTAAATGATGGCAGGTGTGTAATGACTTCCAGTTAACAGGAGTTTGAATGGGATTGGTTTTTGACATTGTAGGTCACATAAATGGTGGGAAAAGTTCTGACATGATTTATCTTTGTCTCATTCTTCAACAATACAACAATACAATGTATGCCTTGTTGACAACAGAATATCATTCATATTCAAAATATTATGATTTTTGATGTTTGTCTCCCTCATCAAAAACAATTCATTTAATAACTAACAAAATTGTAGTAGTAGGGGAGACAAGACAAAGGAGGTGTGTGGTGGATTACTGTGGGACAAGAAGGACCACGTGACAGACCACTGAGCACGAGCCTTAGCGCCGCAACTGGTAGTAGCATGTCATCCACGTTACCAACTATGGTCACCGGACAGACCACTGAACTGGCCACAACCCCCTCTCCCACAAACTGCAGTTAAAATGGTGTCAATTAAAAAGGATCTCTTGTGGGTATCATTTGACGAGGTGTGGTTGGGTGATGATGGATGTCAGTCAGTTTATTCCATGTTTTTTGTCAGGTATTATCGCATTGCTGCCTTTGGCTTCTACTCCTTTGGCTTGTGTCGTGACGACATCATCTACAACTGCCTTCCCCTGTATCATTCTGCAGGTAGGCTTCAGTCCAGTCGCTCTCTCTTGGCCTTAATCTTCTATTCCCGGCACATGTTGTTGTATATTCAGTGACAGATTTACCTCACTTCCCATACATGTTAAGCTTAAGAGATAAAAACACAAAAGTTGACCATTATCATTCTTTCTTTCTTGTGTGTGTGTGTGTGTGTGTGTGTGTGTGTGTATATATGTGCATGCATGTGAAAAACATTAAATGTTTACAGGTACCATCATGGGTGTAGGCCAGTGTTTGCTCTTTGGTTTGACTGTTGTAGTAAGGAGGAAGTTTTCAGCCAGTCGCTTCTGGGATGATTGTGCCAAACACAACTGCACAGTGAGTTAACACGGCCACTAAAGTCTAAAACTAAACTAAACTAAACTAAAGCTAACAATGAGGAGCGTCCAGGTGCAGGCCAGTTGTTCTACTGATTCTTTTCAACCAATACTGACTAACGTTATATTGTTCTGTCCTTTGTCTGTGTGTGTGTGTCCAGGTAATTATATACATAGGTGAGATTTGCCGATACCTTTTGGCCCAGCCAGTCCGTCCATCTGAGGCACATCACTGTGTGCGTGTTGCAATGGGTAACGGCCTTCGTCAGTCAGTGTGGGAAGAGTTTGTCCAGAGATTCAGAATCAAACGAGTTGGGGAATTTTATGGCGCCACCGAGTGCAACTGCAGCCTGATTAACATAGACGGAAAGGTGTGTGTTATTTTAAATTACTTTAGGTAGAGTGAAGGTCTTTTCCAAAATGTATCCTGTCTCATGTATGTGTCATCTTACCTGCCCAGGTGGGGGCATGTGGCTTCAACAGTCGCATCCTGCCAAGCTTTTACCCCATCAGATTGGTCAGGGTGCAGGGGGAGAATGGACAGCTGCTCAGGGATTCACAGGGACTCTGTATACCCTGTCTGCCTGGTGGGAACACACACAATCCCTCTCACAGACAAATATAGATATACAAACTGGAGATTTTATAAATGTGTCAAAATGATTAATTGTCTCCTCCTCCATCTTTCTCTGCCTCTGCAGGTGAGCCAGGTATGTTAGTGGGACGCATAAACCACACTGATCCGCTCAGGAGATTCGACGGTTACGCTGATCAGGATGCCACAAATCAGAAAATAGCTCACAATGTCTTCAAGATGGGAGACTCTGCTTACGTCTCAGGTATGTTTCATCTTGTATTTTTAGAAAATGTTTCCTCCCATAGACATACAATGTAAGACAGCTAGGTTGGAGACTTTAAATTGCCCTAAAGCGTGAATGGGCATGTGATGACAGACTGGGAACCTGTCCTTGCTGTTTCATTATCACTACAATCTTTCCCTTCTTCCCCTCCAGGGATGATAATTATTGTTATTATCTCTGTCTCTCAGGTGACGTGCTGGTGATGGATGAATATGGCTACATGTATTTCAGGGACCGCAGTGGTGACACATTTCGTTGGCGAGGGGAGAACGTTTCCACCACAGAGGTGGAGGGTGTCCTTAGCCGGCTGTTGGGTCACACTGATGTAGCTGTCTATGGAGTTTCTGTACCAGGTAGAGACGAGGCGGGATGGGAAAAACACACACAAACCACATGAATTAAAGAGAAATTAATTTTTAAATTAATTTAATTTCTTTGTTTTTTAAAAAAATCCTTTTTTTATGTTCTATTTGACCAAAATTATATTTTAATGTGTAATTTCCCTATGTTGCTTTTATGTTAAATGTAAAGCACTTTGAATTGCCTTGTTGTTGAAATGTGCTATACAAATAAACTTGCCTTGCCTAAGATCACGGCCCTTTATTCATTACTTCACCTGTCTGTTCAGGTGTGGAGGGAAAGGCCGGTATGGCAGCAATAGCTCACACAGGAGGCCAGTTTGACCTCGATGCGTTCTTGATCGCTGTACAGAAAGCCCTGCCATCCTACGCACGCCCCGTCTTCCTCCGACTCATGCCCTGTGTTGACACTACAGGTGAGACAGTGATGCAAGGACATGCAAACGTGCACACGTTAAAAAAGTCGCATGTGAACTTCATTTTCCACTTTTCTCCTCAGGTACCTTCAAAATCCAGAAGACACAAGTGCAGAGGGAAGGATACAAGCCAAAAGACTCGCTTGAAGAGATTTATTTTCTGAACAGTTGTGCTGGGCATTACGAGGCTGTCACCGATGAACTATATAGTGCCATCATGGAGGGGAGAGTGTGTCTATGAGACAGGAGGAGGCTGAGAAGATACAGACTGTTATAGAGGACAGAGTTTATTTTTCAATGGGGAAAGAGAGGGAAAAGAAAACTGTTTACACTGATATAAATATAATTGGGTCACTGTGTTTTGCAATTGAACAAACCCATTTATTTGTTACCAAATTTAATGCAATTTCCTAACTTTGCATCAGTGTTATTCCAGATCCAGTAAAATACTATATAAGCCTGTAACAGTTGATGGCATTTAAAGAGAGGACAACATGAATCATCAATCTAAATTCATCAATTTAAAGTAAAACTCAAATTATAAGCCTCTGTTGTCAGGATATACAGTGGAAACCACTTTTAGTGATCATGAAATTAAGCAGATGTTTTTTCTATTTTTAATTTGTCATGTAGATTACCATCTAAATGACATTTGTATATTTATTACATGAATATAAAGTAATGAAACAGACAGCTTTGCTGTTTACTGGATTTTATTGGCTGTAAAATACGGTGCAGCTGTTTCACTGTACAAATTAAATTACTGTACAGTGTATAATTCAAATACATTTCACAGTAATACAGTATTGTATAAAATATAGTTTACTGTAGTTGAAATTATAATTAGGCTAGAGGCTAAAACACTATTGTGCTGTTTACAAATACAGTAAAGTCAGTGTTACAAATGGGCTACTAAGCCACAGCTTGGCGCTGGTGTCAGTGCATTTCATAATTTTTATCAGGCCTGAAATTAGACTGTAGGTGAACTGGTAGCAGAGTTTGAACACAAATGTATTGATAAAATGTACATATTTTTTTTTCCATATATATTTATATGTATGAAAAGACCCACTGAACACTGTATACATGAATTGTTTAAAACAGCATTTGTATGGGAATGATTCTGTCTCACGTTTTTTTTAATCCATATTAGTGGTTGATCACTGTAACCATGATCACTATAGGTGGGTTCCACTGAGGTACAATTTCAGAGCCTTTTAAATACTGATGAGCACACAGCAAATGTACACTACACAAAATACAATGTAATCAGAGAGTTTACATGTACAGTGGGTACGGAAAGTATTCAGACCCCTTTAAATTTTTCACTCTTTGTTTCATTGCAGCCATTTTCCAAAAATCAAAAAAGTTCATTTTATTTCTCAGTAATGTACACTCAGCACCCCATCTTGACAGAAAAAAACAGAAATGTAGAAATTTTAGCAAATTTATTAAAAAAGAAAAACTGAAATATCACATGGTCATAAGTATTCAGACCCTTTGCCGTGACACTCATATTTAACTCAGGTGCTGTCTATTTCTTCTGATCATCCTTGAGATGGTTCTACACCTTCATTTGAGTCCAGCTGTGTTTGATTATACTGATTGGACTTGATTAGGAAAGCCACACACCTGTCTATATAAGACCTTACAGCTCACAGTGCATGTCAGAGCAAATGAGAATCATGAGGTCAAAGGAACTGCCTGAAGAGCTCAGAGACAGAATTGTGGCAAGGCACTGGCCAAGGTTACAAAAAAATTTCTGCTGCACTTAAGGTTCCTAAGAGCACAGTGGCCTCCATAATCCTCAAATGGAAGACGTTTGGGACGACCAGAACCCTTCCTAGAGCTGGCCGTCCGGCCAAACTGAGCTATCGGGGGAGAAGAGCCTTGGTGAGAGAGGTAAAGAAGAACCCAAAGGTCACTGTGGCTGAGCTCCAGAGATGCAGTCGGGAGATGGGAGAAAGTTGTAGTAAGTCAACCATCACTGCAGCAATCCACCAGTCGGGGCTTTATGGCAGAGTGGCCCGACGGAAGCCTCTCCTCAGTGCAAGACACATGAAAGCCCACATGGAGTTTGCTAAAAAACACCTGAAGGACTCCAAGATGGTGATAAATAAGATCCTCTGGTCTGATGAGACCAAGATAGAACTTTTTGGCCTTAATTCTAAGCGGTATGTGTGGAGAAAACCAGGCACTGCTCATCACCTGTCCAATACAGTCTCAACAGTGAAGCATGGTGGTGGCAGCATCATGCTGTGGGGGTGTTTTTCAGCTGCAGGGACAGGACGACTGGTTGCAATCGAGGGAAAGATGAATGCGGCCAAGTACAGGGATATCCTGGACGAAAACCTTTTCCAGAGTGCTCTGGACCTCAGACTGGGCCGAAGGTTTACCTTCCAACAAGACAATGACCCTAAGCACACCGCTAAAATAACGAAGGAGTGGCTTCACAACAACTCCGTGGCTGTTCTTGAATGGCCCAGCCAGAGCCCTGACTTAAACCCAATTGAGCATCTCTGGAGAGACCTGAAAATGGCTGTCCACCAACGTTTACCATCCAACCTGACAGAACTGGAGAGGATCTGCAAGGAGGAATGGCAGAGGATACCCAAATCCAGATGTGAAAAACTTGTTGCATCTTTCCCAAAATGACTCATGGCTGTATTAGATCAAAAGGGTGCTTCTACTAAATATTGAGCAAAGGGTCTGAATACTTATGACCATGTGATATTTCAGTTTTTTCTTTTTTAATAAATTTGCAAAAATTTCTACATTTCTGTTTTTTTTCTGTCAAGATGGGGTGCTGAGTGTACATTACTGAGAAATAAAATGAACTTTTTTGATTTTTGGAAAATGGCTGCAATGAAACAAAGAGTGAAAAATTTAAAGGGCTCTGAATACTTTCCGTACCCACTGTATGTTAGCAGCTGTACACCTTTTCAGTAAAGCAAAATCTAAACGTGTGTCTCTTGATAAAAAATTTACATTGTAAGATACTGGTATGGGCTAACATTCAAATAGCAAAGACTTTGGGAGGACATGGGCATTTCAAATGCAGTTCGAATGATAAAAATATGTTTTCACCCACTGTGGACATAGCAATGTCTAGTCAAGAGAACTGTATTGCCTGCTAATTTGAGGGGTATGTTTCAAGGAGCATTACATCAGTAAGCTGTTAAAGCTGTAGATGGGGGATTACCAAGAGAAAAAACACTGTTGAGAACATAAAACCTTTTTGAAAGGTCCCCTCATTGTGTCATATCAAGAGGATAATGTGCTGGAGAACAGTATGACCTTGGGAACATAGATACACTCCCGACCAACCAACAGACTAATATTGCCATCCCTAGAGCCACAGAGCTAGCATGACTAAAAACAACACTTAGTATAGTAGGAAGTATAGTTAATTATGGCTGTAGTCTCTTATTTATTTAGTTATTTATTTTCATCACAAGTATAATAATCAACATGATTCATGTGGATTTGTTTGTGATTGCTGGATTCCTTGCGGGCTCTGTTCAGTGAAACATATTAGTTAGGACTGAACCTGGGCTTGCTGCTCTGTTTTTGTCTTTTTTCTTTTCCTTTCCAGCCAGCTTTGTTTTAATGAGCTGGTCCTTCCTGGTGCATCCTTGAGGTTTGGTGTTCTTCTCCTCTCGCACAGAACCAATTGCTGAGTTTTTCTCTTCAGTCAGACATCTGCTCTCTGACATCTTGCTGCTGTTAGTCGATGCAGTGTCAATGTCTCTCTCAGTGCAGGATTTGCTGTTCATCACCCGATCCCCCTCAGTGATAGCAGTGTCTTCCACAGGGACATAATCTGACCCCACTCTGATGTTCACGCTCTGTGCCAACAGAGCAAGGCCTCCACACAGCGATATACTCTCAAAGTATGGGTAGACCTTTTCAGTAAAGCAATATCTAAATGTGAAAAGATGTGTGGCAGTATCAGCGTTTATGAATTCCAACGTCCCTTCAACCCAGTCCAGCTTCACACGGACTCTTCTAAGGTGGGGTGAGTTGTTGAGATTTAGGTCTTCAGAGGGAGTGGTCAGAGCTTGGTACTTGCCGTCTCGCAGGCTGATACACCAGAGTCCTGCCTCTGGACAGGCCTCAAACTCTGTCCTCCTGGACACAGACTGTGCAGCCACACCGACTGTCCAATTATTGGTGTCACCAACCTGTTGAAATAATAGAGAAAAAGATAAGACAGACAGGGTAGATGGCAGGGACAATTCCTATGCTAGCAGTTCAGAAACATACGTGTATACGTGTATAAGAGCCAAGCGGATACTGGATTTTTGAGACTGACACCAGTAAAATTATATGTGTCTTTCAATGAGAAGGCTGGATTTGAACATTACTTTTATTATCAATGACAGCGTGTCATGACAGTAAGGGTCAGGTTATTCTCAGTCAGAACTAGTACGTAAGTAATGACGTCCGACCCGTGGGAAATCAAAAGCATTGAACATGATAGTTAGAAGGCCGAATAAAAAGCCAGCCTTCAAACACTGGTGGCAGAGCCATTTTAATGACATTCATAGCGTTGTTCACAGGAAAAGGGACAGAAATAGTTGTGTGAAGAATAAAAAAAAAAAGAGAGCTTGGGAGAGTAGTTCAAACCCTGCTTACTTTCTCACCTCCACACAGCTGGCTAATCATGGCATAAAGTGGGTGTGAATGTCAGCTTGTTGGTTTCAGAAACTTACAGAGATGGTGCGATGTCTGAAAGGTGTGGTGGGGGAAGCGGGTTGCCTGAACCAGATATTGGCATTGGTTTCAAGAAATGCCAAACTGGGTTTGAGGTCATTTAGAAATTGTGCCCACCATTAAGTAGTTTGTCCAACAGTGAGTACTGACAAGATGACTTGTACAATGTCAAATGTCCCACTATATGTATCTTGGTCTTAATTTAAAAAAAAAATTAAAATCAATCTAGGAACTGTATCGACATTTTTTATGTCATGTGTTTCTGTTCAAAATGAGTGATATCAGTATTGGCGTTGATTGGTCAGGCTATAGTCAATATGTAAATACAAATAGTACCTGTATATATGAACTAAAACTGAACAGAAATGTATTAAACCTGAATCAAGAAAATGACCAGTACATTAAAAGGCAGCTTATAAATTATGTGTACTGCAACTATTTTCTGTGCCAATATTAATACCAATAATAGAGCTCACTGTTATAGGGGAGAGCAGGGGCGAAAGTACAATTTTTCAGAAAAACCTGATTTTAAATGATTATGTTGTAGACAGTGATATATTTAATATCAATATCAGGTGGTATTTTGTACAAATGCAGAACGACTTCCCTATAATTTCACTTTAAACATAAGCGGCACATTGTTACTTTCGACCCCATCTGTTGGGTCAAAGTAACACAACTAGATTTTTTGTGTTTCCCTTGTTCTTATTAAATATACGTGACTATGACCTTGTAAATATGTAACTGCAAATTTATTTTGTCATTTATCTTTGCAGAAAATGTATAAATTACATTTTCATTTTATTTATCTATTTTGAGTTTCTTCAAATGTTTCAAAAGTAACCCAACCGTATACTTGTTCAAAATGTTTTTTATTGGCAATGTTAATCCATTTTATAAAACATTTCTTCAACAATATGAACAATATGAAAATGAATATTCATAACAAATATAAATATAAATTTTCAAAAATAATGCAAAAATAGTCATGTTTCTATCTAGCTGTTTTTTATACGTAATTCCAAAATGTGCCTGAAAACATCTGGCTGAATCAGACCTCTGTCTGTCTTTCTGACCCTCACACTCACATAACATAAACATGTTTCAATACATGCTGCAACACAGAGAAACTCACCACATTAGCAGCGGGACAAAAGAAACACGGCTAAAGTAATACGTCACACTGAAAAACTCTGACAGGGCAAACTTCAGGGTGTGTTAAAGAACTAAATAACCTGTAGATTAATCCTTACTGTGACACATGAAACGAGAGACACAACTTATAATTCTAAAAACAGTACAGCTTCAGAAATTTACTTGCCTGCTCGAAAACAGTTTTCTGAAGACAGCCACGGGAAACGATAACGAAATCATGCGATATTTGGCAGCCCTATCAAGTGTTGCGTGATGAAGGTGCTGTCACAGCTTGGACTGCAAATGCAGTCAGGGCTCTGACAAAATCGCCTTGTTACTTTCGTCCCCTGTTACTTTCGCCCCGATTTACCCCTACTGCTCGGCTAGAGCAAATACCTCAATATGCCAACAGTGCACTCCGGAGTCAAAGCCCTCTCTTGCCAGGATGCAGGAATAAGGGTGGAAACGTTCAGGGTTAGCTGGGACAGAGAAAGCAGCATCCTGTGAGGGTCCAGGGGTGAAATGGAAACTGTTTAAACCAGGAGACACCCTCAGAGACTGGCCAGCTGTCCTAGGGTCCAGGGTCACTGGAGCTGCAAGATACAAAGTGGGTCAAAGGGACTGAAGGTGAAACAAGAAATGCATTCATGCATTGAAAGAGACTGACTGTAGGGGGCGATGTGTTTCATCTTCTCCCACACAGCATACTGGAGGTTACCCAGGTGTTTGGCCACTTCTATTAGAGGTCTGCTAACCTGTTGTGGCACACTTCTACCTGCCCATGTACTGCAGTAAATAAACATGAACATGCAGACAGTTATACAGTTGTATTTGCATGTATATGTGCTTGTGTGTGAAAAATACCTGGAAATTTCACATACCTATTCAGCGTGTCTTGGTAATGCTGTAACAAAAAATACTTTATATGGTTACTGTTTTAAATACAAACACCTTTAACCATTCATTGATTAATGGTGTAACATCTGATTGATGTTACTGTTATGGCAGAAAATTGTGTCCTCTTACATTTACAGTTTTTACAACTGCTTACACACAAAATCTTTACATGTCACATAATTTTTGAAACCTCTCACTCAAAGACCAAAAACTCATCTCAAATCTTCAAAACCATAAGCTAATTCTCAGGCTTTCACTCAGTTTTCAATTGCATAAAACACTTTTCTACAATTCTCTACCTAAGACACAAAAATCTAACAGGAAGTGACTTGCTGTCGTTTTCAAAACACAACAAATGAAAATGCTACACTTATTTACCTGGTCTCACACCCACTCCTCACATGTGCAAACACTAACTGCTTTACTGATCACTAATTAATCACTGCTTTAGTATACAGTATATATTTATAGGTCTACTGTATACTAGTGTTTTGAACAATGGATGCCAACAATGGACAGAGAGCAAGGGGAGAAGGAGGGAAAGGCAAGGGACAACAATGGGGACAAGTTCAAGGAGGAAGAGTTGAAAGGAGGAGGAGGAAGAAGAGGAGGAGGACGAGGAGGTTGACAATGATTGAAGCTGGACTGAGAGTCCAGCCCAACAAGAGTCCAACCTTCAGAAATTAGAACAGGTATGCAACAATCTAATCTAGTGTACTTTTCAGCACCTCTTTCAGCAGATTACTTTCACTCCAGAACACAGTGTGTAAATGGTATATCAAAGGACTTACTATTTTGAAAAAAGTGTTTGCCATCTGATGCCAATGCTTCATTTTGGGATGTGTTTATGGCATTTTGAATTGGGGAATTGTCTGTAGAGTTTTTAAAAGAGACATAATTTGAAAACGCGTGTAAGCAGTTGTAAAAAAAACTGTAATCTTTTATGCAGGTTCTTTTACTATTATTATTATTATTACTATTAATATTAAAATTATTGTTATATCTTATAGATATATATGTATTGTGTTTTTTATCCTTATCCTTAACCTTTCCTTTTTGTATACTTTATATGTTAGTCTGTCCACATATACCAGGGTTTAGGTCGGAGCTGTGAGATTGTTTTGGTTTTTTCCCCCTCTTGTTGTTCTTCTCCTCTCCTTGAATGTTCATTCAAGGACGGGAGAGGATCTCTGTTCCCCCAAATATAGGAACCTAGACTGTACATCCCTTTGCTCAGGACCAGACGCCTGAAGCGGCCCTAGGCGTCAGGTCTCTGGACCAGCTGTACATGTGTTACAGTACTTTGTTTATTCTCTTTTATAAATAAATTCTTCAAAGACAACGGTTGGTTGTAACTCAATTATTTGCTTAATCCCTCACCAGCAATATACAATTTTCATCGACAGTTACCTCTGAAAATTCAGCCCCATCTCCTCCTGTGTTCAGCTCCTCTTCAATCAGTTGGATCTTCTCCTCCAGAGATTTTATCACCTGATTCATTCTGTCTATCCAATCTACCGCCTCTCTCTTCTTCTTCTCCTGTTTCTCCCTGAGTGCAAGCAGTCTAGCTGCTTCCTCCTCCCTCAAAAACTGATGAAGACTCTCAAATTCCTTTTTCATGCACCCCTCTGTAACTTTGGCCTCAGCCTGGGAAGAATACAAAAAAAGCAAAGAAAGTGTGAGGAATAAAGAGGAGGTCCTAAAGCAGGGACAAGCTCCATAAAGTTCTGATTGATTTTTTGATTTGTAGTCGCAGGTCTACCTGGTTATGTCTGGATGCATGTTCACAGGTCTGTGCGACTTTCTCAAAGTCCATCATCTTCTTCTTCAGTCCATTTAACGATGTTCTGAGCTCCTCCTAGTGGCCCAAAGTCAAGTCAAATTTATTTATTTTGCCCAATATCAAAAAATTGGCTTTACAATCTGTACCTCTGTCCTTAGACCATCCATTCGGAAAAGGACTGAGAGGGAGTATTTTTACTTTTGCTACTTCTACAAAAGTTGAAATAGTACAAAATTATGTTGTGGCTCCTATAGTATAATGTACTGTAGTAAAAGTATAATTTTGAATACAGCAGTGGTGGAAAAGTACATTTACTGAAGTACTGTACTTTAGAAAACTTTTGAGGAAGTTGTACTTCATGCTTCTTTGAACTTCTATGTCACTACATTTCAGATGGAAATATAGTGCCTTTTACTGAACAGCTATAGAACTAGATACTTTCATTAAATTAAACGCTCTGAACACTCGCAGGTGTTTCTAATTGCTCTCACTAGTCAGGTTGAAGCTGGGAGGAGCTCTGCTTGGAATTATCAGGGTATCCACAGGTCTTATGGTGCTTTCAGACCAACCGCGAATTTTCGCCTCGCCACGCTTTCCTCGCGTGAGTACATTCGCTGCAAGTGTTCACACACAACGCGAGAAGGCGATTTTAACGCAATAACTTGAATGAACACAACTTGCCAGTACTGTAGCTGTATGAATCCAAAGTAAACATTTTGTTGTGATTAAATAGCAAAAAACGGATCAAACTGATGCCGAAATAACTACAATATGATGCAGTTTTGTTAAACATATGAATTCATGCTTTGTCAGGTCTGTCAGCAAGACCGCAAGACAACAACTTCTAAAATGTTTGTTTTCTTAATGGAGTTTGGATCGATCAGGGGTATGCTATGCTAACTTGGTCACAGTATAGTACGATAGCTGGAATAAAGTTACATACACATGTTTTCTGAACTCACCAGGTAGTTCAACCGCCTCGCTTTCTTTTCTCCCAGTAATGTCCTGTTTTGTTTTGTGTGTGTTTTTTTTTTTTTAACGTTGATAGGCTATCGCAACACAGCGTCATGCGAATTTCTCGCTTGGGTTGAAAATATTCAACTCGCGCGAATTCCTTCGCATTGCTTTCGCTTCGCCTTCGCGTCGCTTCGCGCCGCCCGACAGGAAATCGCGTCTTTGCATTGACTTTGTATATAAACTCACCGCCCCCAACGCTCGCTTCGCTTTTGGTCTGAAAGCACCATTAAAAACATGTTGGGAGACTTTACACACCTGTAATCTAAAAGTGGGATTGTGTTGCAGGAGGTGGTTCAATCCTTTACCAGTTTCAGTCAGCACCACCAGAGCTGTAGTGAACACTGTCACTACTGCTATGCTAGCAACAGTAGCTAGCTCATCAACTCACTAATGGACAATTGTGTCGAAAGTGTCAATTTGATCAAGAATGTACAGGAACTTGAATTAATTATATTTTAATTGCTTAATCCATCCATCAATTTTCTGCCACTTAGCTGGGTCCATGTTGCAATAATAGAATTATATAGGAATTTTTAATTCTGACATTGTGATATGTACATGTACTTAATCAATAATTGTAGGCCTTATTGTCCCTGCTGATGTCCATCATGCTTTTCTCTGTGGTATTATGTACCCTGTGGTATTTAAAAAAAGGCTTTAAACAGTCTAAAATTTAAGTTGATTGACACTGCAGAAACTGTGGTTATGTCACCAAACTGCCTCAAAAAAAGATAACAGGGTACACTTTCCTGAGAAGGATCCTGATCAAGCAACAGAAGGGAAAACTCCTGTGTGGGTGGACTGTGGTTGTGCATGATCTTTAAGATTTTATATACAAAATATGTGATAACCTTAACGTTTTACTGATCAAACTACCATTACACTAACAGTGTAATATGTAGTAGTAGTAGTAGTAGAACACATCTCTAAGTAGTTAGATATGTTTTTCATGAACCAGTTAAAACATGAAACTAAAACCGATGCACTGTTGACTCAATCAACATACAGTTTACAAGCACACATGAGTATTAGATTAAAATCATTATATGAGCCACGTTCATGAGCCTGCACTGTGTACTGACAGTATTCACAGGAAATTAACATAACCCACCAGCTCTTTTCTTCAGATTACTTTTACCATTTTTATGAGTGTGTGTGTGTGTGTATTATTCATGTTGTGGCAACATAAATCACATTGTGGGGATTCTCCTTCCTTTTGGGGACAAAACACAAGTCATACATAAATCATTACATTTTAGGGTGAAGACTGTAGATCAAATTTCATGTCCAGTGAGATCTGAACATGCCTTTGTGACATGATGATAGCAACAGTAATTGCCATCTTAGTTTTCAGGTTGGTGCCTCTTTTAAAGTCTAAATTCTGCCTGTATAAACTAATCTTGGATTAACACAAGGCGGCATCTGTTTGGGCAGGAAAATGAATATTTACAGGAGCTGAAAAAAATGCCTGACTGCGTCCTTGTTTAAATATCTGCTTCCTCTGGTTGCAGGAAGAATGTTGAGGAAGAAGTACAAAACAGTCATGAGATGTCCCCCTTTAGACTCAGTAAAAAATAGGGTTCAAATCTCGGAAGTATAGCCCGTGTTCACTCTGCTGTAATTTGGCGTCTTAGAGTTTCTGTTTGCTTTGGCTTTGTGGCAGCAGGACAGCTCTAATTGGAAAACCATGATTCAAGCACTCTTGCTGGCAATGATCTGGCCTGCTGAAGTGTCCTTGAGGAAAACACTGAATTCCTGCCAGCTGCTCTGTATCAATCCTTCAGCATGATGCAGTATTGCTTTCAGTTGAGGAATAAATAGGCCTATTGTGGGTCTTCTACTTCAGCGAGATTTATCTCGATAAATCTCATGGTGCACAAGATGATCAAAAGAATCAAAAATACACTCTGTTCTACACAAAAATAAGTTCATTTTACCTGACTTCTCTCTAATAATAAATTTAGCCATGTAAAATACTATATTATACTAAACATATTCTAATGAAAAATCATTTTGGTTGAACTGCTCATGACTCGTGGGCAAATAAACATATGACGGGGGTCGCATGAAGAAGTCACTTTGTTTTAAGGGGACACAAGCCAAAAAGGTTAAGAACCAAAATAGCAACACAACATAAAATGTTATAAATATAAAGTAATTTAAAGTATCAAAAACAAAATGTCCTCTTATAACCCAATTCATTTAAGGAGTAGCAGTGATCTGAAGAGGGGAAATGAACCATTTACACTGATTCAGTATTATCTAAGGTATACAATATTCCACCAATTGTAGAATTGATGTTCTCCATGCAATTTAAATGTTTTGGAGTCATGGTTGCAGCACCTAATGCCAGATTCTTACCTTGCAGTCAGAAGCAGCCTCAGTCAGGAATTAAATCTTGTGTCCTGCATGATTCACAGCTGCACATTGTTTACATAAAGGCTCCATGTCATCCAAACAGAACACGGACAGTCTCTCTTCATGTTCCTCACAACCCTCTGGAGAGTTGGGGAGAAAGGCTTTGCAGCTCATGAAGGGGCTGCTGGTGGTCGGAGCCTCCAGATTAGAAGCCAATTTGGTTTGTGTCACAATGAAGCAGTGAGTTTGCACGAAACAGATGAAAAGTGTGGGGACAGACAAAGCGGAGGCGCTGTCTGTTAATGTATGTGGGTATCTGTGTTGTATGTGCTGTCTTGATGGATTCATGCTCTATCTGTGTACAGAGAGAGGCACTAAAGTAGATCTGCTTAAACAGTCCTCCTTCGACTTGAAACTTAGCCAAAGTGTCCACATGAGCTGAAGTCATACATCACTGTAGTGATTTTCATGACTGTGTGATTTATGGTTTATTCTCACATACCAAGGCCAAATTCGTGCCTGTGCTCGTTATTTTTACTACTTCACCTATTTTGCTTCATAGAGGTGCAGCAAGTCTATCAATGAATGGCATATTTTGCAAGCAAAAATAAAGTGTAATTGGGTTCTGGTGACATTTAGTAATTTGCTTGTGTAGAGTGTGAATTTGTGTAATGTGCACAGCATCTGATTGTTATATATATTTTTACTTTTTAATGATGAAGTATTAAGTTATTGCATGTTTGTTCTACCAGGTTCAAGCCTGTATGAGGGTTTAATAAAATAGCAAGAGTGAGCATGTCTGTGAGTTGGTCAGTAGGCTAGTACTTCATGTACTCTGTGCCAGGCGAGTTATGCTGAATGGATCCAATTCTGCTGACCTTCAACATTTTGAGCTGCTCATATCCAGAGATCATGTAAAGCAGATCAGCTTTGACAGGTGAACATATTTCAAAGAATCACATGATCTACAGAAATGAAAGACGAGATAACCTGCTTTTCCTCAATTTGCAACAGGTCACGTAGTAAAAACACATGTTTAATTTGTGGCTTTGTTGTACTATTAACAGGACTGTCTTAACCTACGATGTGTCAGATTACAATGTGTAAGAGACTAGTAGAGAGATAAACTGTCATTAATATTGTCTGTTAATATTCCTGCACAATTTCACATCTAAAAGCAGACAGCCATGACTTTATGTATCTGCCTATGCATCATTAACCCTTTAAAAAACAATTTTAAACTGTAATATCTTGTTGAAAAATTAGCTATCCCTCAGTAGATGAATGTTAGCCACCTAATATAATCCCAGGGTGCACTGCGGCTGTAAGAACAAGATCTTTTAGTAAGGAAGCAGCGGAACCCCCCCCCCCGAGAATATATCCTGATTGTGGAAAAATTCTCAAGAGTTATTTTTAAACTTAGTTGCTAACTTTAAAAAAAATTAAATTACAAAAACATTCCTTGTTTATTTTAAAACATATTTCATAGGCTATAAGATGTTTTAGTTTGGGAGTTTTACACATTGCTCTTGTACTTTTACTTTAATGGACACCTCTACTGCCTGGTACTTAGTGATGATTTAAAAACTGTGTGCATAGTTGAAAAAAATGTTTTGGAAAAAAAACTCTTTTTTTTTCTGTGTGGGAACTATAAAAGGGTTTATCAAAGACATACCAGGGAAAATCCCTGTCTATTATCCCTGTGAACATGGCTTTAAAGATGTTAAATGTTTGCTTATCCATGTCTACACTGTTTATACGGGTACTGTTATACATAAATGACTGTGTGCATGTGCAAGCTTCTGTTGTCAGTCATGATTTCTGATCAACCTATTTGGCCAATCTCCTGAGCAGCAGGGTCTCGCACGCTAGCTGAGAAAAGATGAAACACATCATTCTACAGCAGCTGTATGTGTGTTTGTATGTATTCTCTGTAATATTTTTGTAGAGCTCTCTGTTCCATGGCCCTGCTCTGTTTGCTGTCTCCTCTCCTTCTCTGCTCCAATAATCCTGACAGCTGAGTGTTGCCTCTCTCTCCTCTGACAGTTTGTGAGACTGTGAAAGTGGTGACAGTGGAGATGTTTGGTGAAGTTAAAGGCTTCACGGCATTGCTCTTAAAAAGGTTGTTCACTAGTTTCTCTCTCAAATCTGCAGCTCTGTCATCCACTTGCTCAATTACAGCAGCTGATTCTGGGTTGTGCTACTTAACAATAGTCACATCAATGGATTTGGAGTCCAATTGATGAGAGGGTGACGTGCTAAATTACCTCAGTTGTTCTAAAGTTATTGTCAACTCACAAGTAGTCTGTCATGTGACTATAATCATCAAATACTACGTCCTCTCTCTCTCTCTCTCTCTGGAACACCATTCCTCTTCCTGACTCCAATGTTTAATGTTGCTGCAAAGAACTAGAATATGAGGGGCGTAGGGTTAGTATTGACTGTCAACAGAAATCATTTCTGCTGAGTCTACCGCAGCAAAAATGACGTGTGCGTAAAGAAAGAGGTGGAGAAAGGGTGAGGATAAAGAATTGCAACCGATAATTACAGGTCAGTATGAGAAAAGTGCACAGGGAAGAAATAAACAAGTGGAAAGAGACTGATAAAAGGGACACCACAGAGAATGGGAGGGAAGCTCACCTACACAGACTCAGTCTGCAAATGAATACATTATCTGTTGCTCAGGCCTGTCCGTGTCGACTTTGGTGACAAATTAAAGGATAAAAAACAACAAATTCCCACATACTGTGTTGTCATGATTGTGGTGGAGAGAGCACCAAAATCTCCATAAAGGGGTTCACTTGACTCACTTATTCTGGTTTTTCCTTTAATGTTTTTCATCCTTTACGTTGCATGCATACTGGTCCTAAATTACTAAAATCTAACCTTTCCTTCTGTGAACGAACAGAGCCCGTTGCCGACATCATGGAGACGTTGGCTCCTCTTTATCGTCGTCACCTCAGCTCAAATCTACTGAGCCCACATGAGGAACAAGCACATGGTTCAGCATCCTGCGAGAAAATCTAGCCTTCTTAACCAACATGTGGACCCTGCGCTCCAGGAGGTTGCAGCACAGGCTGGGATTGTATTGGAGGGTACTTTGCCTCAATACCTGGATGGGATCTGGACACATCGCCACCTACAGGTCACCAACAGCTTTACAGTCGAGAGTCGTGATTCCAAACAGTTACAAATCCAGGAGCCATCTTGACCTACATCTAGTTCTTCTCCTGTGGCCTGATCAAGCACCTGCATATTGTGAATGCGTGTGTTTGTGTGTGTTTGTGTGTGTGTGTGTGTTTGTGTGTGTGTGAAATGCTCCAGGTATTTGATGCTGGTTGGGGGTGTATCACAGAGTTGGTGTCATATCTGCACCTCGACACAAGAGCATCGTGAGTTAGTGGATGACATGTGTCAACACATCAAAGGTATGCTTTTAGCCTGCTGCTGCTATTTATTGTCCATAGGCAATCCAGACTTGTTGCTATTGAAGTGATGCCTTACCTTAAGGAGCAAGTATTTCCCAGGATTATTGTATGCCACAGCAGGAGGAGGAAGGCCTGGATAGGAGTTAGTTAAAAGCATACACATACATAAGCAAAATGTATCCCATATATCTTTCTCATAAACTCTAGTACATGTGCGTTTATGCATTGCTAGTTGCTGTTGGAGATCTACAGGACAGTAAAAAGTCAGGTAAAAGCTGCCATGGTTGCTCTGAATGAGGAGTTGTCACTTTATCGCTCTGAAGTCTGCAGGACTGCAACAGGCCAATGCACTGCAAGACCACATCGCACACTCAATCGCAGGTGTGTGTTTGTGTCTACGAGGTCAGAACATTTCAAATAAGACCCTGTTCTTCATCTTGATCCATTTCCACTCACATTAGAGGACATGTGTGAGCCGATGTTACAGTCTTTCCTACACATGATCATCCCGAGGATCGAACATACTCTGCAGGGAGTGGCCAAACCCACCTGTGACGGATTTGCTTCTGCCTGGCAAAACTTCATGGAGACATGTAATTACATCATAGACCTGGGATCAAAAAGCACCTCAGTGAAAGATATCAAAAAAGAGGTGCGTTGTGCAGAAAATTTCAAGATGCTAATTTTGATGTTGTTCTTCTACATTTGAACAATGAAATGTTTTTAACCAGGTACTCCTGGTCCACTGGACCCATCGGTGGGCTTAAATTTAAATTGGAGGTGTGCCAAGATGATTAAGGGACATGAAAAAAAGAAAAAAAAATCATGTGAAATGATAAAGTATCACTATTTTGTTGAACTGCTGACTGCTCACGTTCACACTGAGGCACTAAGGGATCACAAATAGCACTGCTTCATTTTAAATGCTCACAAGCCAAAAATGTAGTGTCTGAAAATGCATGTGGATATCTTATTAACCATCTTCTATTAAACCAGTGTGGAATATTTTATCTTCATAACATTTTTACGCAGAATCCGAGGCTTGCACAAAGAGCTACACTTCAATGTGAGCTGATAAAAGGCAGCAGCTCATTCACAATACATTGCACTGTACTTGAGATGTTTTCATCTTAGGTGCTGACACCTCTGAGTGGCCTCGGACCAGGTGATGCCAGGATGTGGCAGTGCCTGGACAGGTTGGAGTTGAGCTCCGAGGGCCGTATGTGGCTCCATGAAATATTCAAATATCAGAACGCTCTCTACAAAGTAATTTAACAAAAATGTTCGTACATCAACTAAATTGGTAAAGAATAGAAATTTTAATAAAATGACGATGCTGTCTCTCACATGCCTCCACTCCTCTTTCTCTCCCAGGCGGTTGATATGTGTGCTGTGATGTTCTGGAGGCTGGTCTCTCGATATCCTCGTTTCTCTGTTGACTCCACCCAGCTCACGGCGGTGAGGGTCAAAGAGAAAGTGGTCAAGGTGTGTAACAGGATGGGTTTTTAGGAAAAACACACTTGTCCTGAACTGCAAACCAAATACACATTTCTCTGTCTGTCTCTCTCGCACACATATCATGCAAACAAACATAGCACCTGGAGGCAGAACTGTTGGCTCTTCGATCTCATTTAATTCTGGAGATGATCCTGCAGATAACACTGCTGGCATTTACACATGCTGTGGGTGAGCAGGTATAAGTCTTTACATCTTTAGAGGTTTATCTTCTTTATTTTGGTCTTCATTTAAATGGTAAACACCTTTGATTTTAGGATCTGTCTCGTTATTATTCCATGGTGAACTCAGAACAAGCACTCTTCTTCCACCCTGACACCATCTCCCCCTGCAGTGATGAGGTACTCCCTGCCACAACAGGTCATGCGTCTCCCGGTCAGTCCCATCAACCCCTGCAGCTCCAGCTCTAGTTTCTCTGAGCCAGTGTACCACGAGCTGCTGCGACCTGCTGACTGCAGATCCCAGCAGAACTTCTGCCAAACCTCTGAAGGCTCCACCTCAGAATAGGAAACAATCACACCAAGCACCGAGTGTGACTGAGATGACACATTGGCCAACTCAGAAAATCTCGCTGCTTGATGCAGGAGAATACATCCATTTCACCAAACCATGAAGGAAAAGAAGAACAGCACTGCAGGGCGTAGTAATATTTTAATTTTATTTTTAGCGTTGATTAATACAGCTTAAATAAAAAGGGGACAATTTGAGAGACTATATGAATTTGCTTTTGCCTAATTGACAGGGATTTGAAACCTAAAATGTACCATTAATTAAAAACTACAAAGATCAAGGAAGAAGGAGAATATACAAAAACTCACTGTAATCTGCTACTGTATGTCTATTTTATAGTATATTGGAGGTGAAACAATTCATCAATTAGTCAAATGGCAAATAAATCAGCAAATGTGTTTAATTAATCAATTAATAGTTTAAGATGTTTATTAAGCAAAAATTCCAAACATTACCTAATTCCAGCTTCTCAGATGCGAGGATCAATTACTTTTCCCTTCTTAACATCATAGAGCAATGAATATCTTTGGATTTTGGACTATTGGTCAAACAAAACAAGCTGTTTGACTTAACTTTAAGTCCAGGGAAATGGTGACTGTTATTTTAGACTGAAAGATTACTCAGGGCTACGACTCAGGGTTATCTAAACAAAATCCTTAGATTAAACAGACGTTAGTAGCAGACCCATTGTGTCTCATGAAAGCACATAGCACAGTAGCCTTGTTGCATGCACTTGTGATGGTTTGAGCTGCATCACTGTGTTGTAACAGCTTTTAATAATGTTGTTTTGTGTTTTTATGCATATTTTCTACTTTGCACCTTTACTTTTGGCTCAAGAAGAATAGATAAAGTTGCCTGTATGAGATCAAGTTTGAAAAGCTTTACATGTATTTCACATGAGTGAATTGTCCATTTCACCTCAAGGATGCTGCAAAGCAGCGGTTCCCAACCCAGGGACCTCCAGTGGGGTCTCAAGAAAAATCTCATAGGATAATTAAAGGGATACAAAAAAAGTGGAAATTGTGTTTATTTTCTTTATGTCAATTTTTGCTTTCTTCTTGTGAATTACTGTTTACTTTGACCTCCCCCGGCCTCTAAAATCCTATAAACACTCTCGGATTACAAAAAACTTGTTGAAATGAAAATGTTGCTTCATGGGTTCCACAAGCTAAATAGATTTAGAAACCACTCCTGTAAAAAAGGGTATCACCAGTTTCTGAGTAATTTCAATGGTCCTGCAGGTATTCCAGGCCTGCAATATTGAACACGTGGACACGCCCATATCGCCTTCTAGCAGCTTCCTACAGCTGGAGCTGTTCTTAAAGGGGAGGGCAACATGAGCTTTATAGTCTACTTGGCCTTGTAGGACACAAGACGTTTTTTGTATAAAATATTAATCCTAAACCCAAACCTGGCTGGACACGACATGATTCATGTTCACCGTGTAAAGGCGGCACAGAAAGGTGGACCTACGACTGTTTTTTGAGAACAACGAGTTTCCCTTAAAGCGGTCCAGACCTGGCCTTTAATTCAGCCAGCTCCTCCGCCATGTCTCCACGGTCGGCATAACACAACAGCGGGACCGCCAGCTTCTACATCCTCCGTGTCCGTCTCTGTCCGCCGCGTCACCAGTGAGTTTTCTCTCCCCTGCCATGCCCCGGGTTACCTCGCTGCTGCCTGCCCTGCTGTTCGTTCTCCTGCCGGGCCCGAGCCGGGGATATTTCCCCGAGGAGCGCTGGAGCCCCGAGTCTCCGCTCCTCGCTCCACGGGTCATCATCGCGTTGGCCTGCCGCAACTCGGCGCACTCCCTGCCGCTGTTCCTCGGAGCTATCGAGCGACTCAACTACCCGAAGGACCGCATTGCGCTGTGGTGAGTATCATCGCTGTAAACCCTTTAAAATGAGCACTGTAATACATAGAATGACAGACTACATCATGTCTGAACTTAGAGTAAAGTAAAGTAAAACAAAGTGTGATTAATTGTCAGTGTGAGCTCATTAAGGGCGCAACAGACACGTCAAGCCCATGTAAGTTAGTCATATTGTAAAGGAAAACTCTGCGTGCGTTTGCGCGTGCGCGCGCAGGTTTTAGCCGGGTTTGGCCGCTCAAGATGTAGGAAAACCCATGAGCGCTTTATCTCCACTGTTAACAAGACTAATCGGCGGTGAAATGAGTGAAAGTTAAAGCAGCGTAACTGTACAAGGTATTGTATGGACTTGGCCCGGCAGTGGAGCACGGAAGGCGGGTTGTATCATCAGAGTCGTGGATATGAAAAGTTCCATTCAGTCACATCTGTCTCATCGACCCATCCGTTTTCCCCTCTAACGTTACCCCTCCCTCCCGTTTGCTTTCCCTCTCCCTCTTCTACATCTTCGTCTTGCAGACTCGACTGGAAACTAAACCAACAGGCTATTGTAAAAAGGCTATTGTAAAAAACAACAACAACACAACAACAAATAACTAAACTGGTACCTCCGCTGTCTGCCAGGCTGTCTATTAAACTGCAGGATTTATCTGTCTTTACCTCAGCCATTGTTTTGTCACCCAGCCCACCAGCCTTCCAGATTATTCTTGTCTCCTGCAATGCTCACTTCCTATTCTCATTTTGATCCTGTGCCACTAGATCTGAAGATTTGGAAGATTTACTTAATCTTTTCATTGACATTTAGACCTGACAGGTTGGATTATATTTCTTGGCAACCCAGTTGCCCTAATAAAGGCAAATACTGACAATAGCCTCAAGCAGAGTTGTGTTTAATGTGACTGTGTGAGTTTGGATTAAAATGAAACACCATTCATTCTTGTAGATCGGATTGTTTGATCCAAGAGGGTGCTGTGCCTCGCCTAATCTCTTTCAGTGGGAGCTAGAGTGAGGGATTCAAGTGTCCGTGTGTCTCTTTAAACAAACCAGCCCGGATGTGGAGCTTTTCTACTTGTATCTGTGCCAAAACTTCAGCCAGAGTCAAACTTTGCCCATGTGGCAGCCTGAGCTCAGTTTTCTGCATGGTTGCTTTGATCTACAGCAAATCTCTTCCTTCAGTGGATGAACAGATAGTAAAAGTTTTGAAATGCAGCGTGAAAGACATGAACCTGAGCAGGTAGCCGGCCACCTGTTCATAACTGCGGCCTGACAGGTTAAGACGGAGTACATGGCAAGCAACAACATAGACACACACGCATACAGACATCTTTAATGATGTGCGTGTGCTCTGCAGGGACATGCAGGATGGATATTATCGATCTATAAATCATCCCTTTTCATCCCTCTGTCTCTTTTACGGATCACTTATCCTTTTGTCATGGTTCTATTGCTGGCATGTAAGCAATATTTGCTCTCCATAAACCCTTTTTTATTCACTACCACTGCCCTTTTAAAACCTCACAGCAGTCAGAGAAAGAAAGGTAGACCGATGCAGAGAGAAGTAGGAGGAGGAGGAAGAAGATGGAGCGGTGAGTTGGTCACATGTAGGTGCTAGGGCAGCACTGCTGTGTTAAAACGCCACAGATAGATGGTAAACTAACACCTGCAGCACGCCGACTGTCACTCATTGCATGGCAGGGCTGGGAGCAAATCCATTTCTCTCATATTTACACATTCTTTCCCTCTCTCGTGCTTTGTCTCTGCCCCTCACTGGCACACACAGAGATTTGTTATGATAACACAGACAGCAGATGAATGCCGCTCCTCCCCTTCTCAGGCCCTATTGTCTGTCTTTGTTATTCTTTGTCCACGCCTGACATTAGTGATGTGCAACTCTGCTCTAATGACAACAAGACTGTCAGAGGATGAAAGCCGAAGTAGGGATGGATAATAAATTAATGTTATCAATTGTAGAAAGAGAAATGAACATTATCTGGGGTTTGGTTAGAGACATATTGTATGTTGGCTTTTTATCAGTGTTTTGTAAAAATGGTTAAAATGACTGTGTAAATACTGTAGGAAACGTACAGTAATACCGATGGTAATTTGTCAGTGTTGTGATTTCAGACCCCAAAAAGCCAAAAACAAACCCATTTAATTGCAGCTTTGAGGTGGTGTTTACAGTTAAGTGATATTTGAGTGGTGTAGCTCAAATAAATGAACAGTGAATAATTTTCCATATGTTGCTATCAAGTTAATGTTTTGAAATAGGGTTATTTTCATTTTTGAGAAATCTCTTAGTTGCGTTTTTGATTAAGCGATTAATTGTAAAGTCTAAAAAAGAATCAGAAGGATACATTACACATTTCTCTAGCCCAGGTAAGCGTCTACAAATGTCTTGTTTTGTCTGACAAGTGTTCCAAAACACAAAGCTACTGAAATTATAAATGCTGAAAACAGAAAAGCATCTTTTTCCCACATTGCTTGATAAATTACTTTTAATCACTTATTGAATTGCTTAATTCTACTAATGAAGTCAATCCAATAATGAAGTAGATGACTAATTATTTCAGCATTATTTTGAAATATCAAAGTGTTTGAGTTTGTCAGTATTGCCCACTGCTAACTATTTATTATTTAATGTATAAACTATTCCACAGTTAAATTTCCAGAAAATCTACTATATCAGTATACATATCACTGGATCAGACCTATTCCCCAATATTGATTGGAACACCAGTAAAGACATCTGTGTTTTTCCCCCCAGTTTAAAATCTGCATACCTCAATGCCTAGAGCGGACTGGGCTCATTCTCCTATGTGTATAGTAACACAAGCATTTATCTATAGATCGCTTCTTACTAAAAGTGGAAGAGCTATTTATGTGGAGCTCAAGTGAATGAAGCAGACCTGAAAAACAGTGCAGCTCCTGCTGTGAGAACGAAGAGTGACAGAATAATAACCGCTGGCAAATATGAATAAACAAGGCATTATCATGCACAGCGACTGCTGTGGCGCTCAGAAGTCTGTCAGTGGCCCAGTGCAACGACAGTGACGGAGAAAATATTTTTATGGGGATCAGTCATGTCTTGTCGTTCCTGCGTATTAGATCGGGGCATCTCTGTTTAATCACATAAAATTTGACACGAGTGATATAAGATTTGATTCATATAGTTGGTGGTATTGCTGATCAATGTTTGCTCATTAGTCATGGTCTCTCGCTCTCTCTCTGCTGTCTTTCATCCTTCCACAGGGTGGCGACGGATCACAACATCGATAACACTACAGCCATCCTGAGAGACTGGCTCATCCAGGTGCAGAATTATTATCACTATGTGGAGTGGAAACCTGATGATGAATCCAGGTACTGTGTGTGTGTGTGTGAGAGAGAGAGAGAGAGAGAGAGAGTGTATGTGATAAGTACATAACTGGTCTGTCTGTGCATGTCTCAGTGCCTTTGAAGACGAGGTGGGGCCTAAGCATTGGAATAACCTCCGTTATGAACATGTAATGAAGCTCCGTCAAGCAGCACTGGAGACCGCCCGCGAGATCTGGGCCGACTACCTCCTGGTATGTTATCGTCGTCATCATCATCCACTCAACAGCTTCATGAGCCTCTTCTTCTTATGTGGCGTCCAACTCTGTAACTACACGTACATCCGTCGTCTACACCTGCTTACAACTGTTCAGTGTAACAGGATAAAAAATTTAAATATGGATGAGAAAGCAAAGCTCAATTTTTTACAAAGAAAAGAAAAGGAACTGCATTAAAGTGAATTCACTAAGTCACCGTGACTACTCACTAATGCAGCTTTTTATTCTTCAAATCTAATGCAGAGAAGGAAAGTGTGTGTTTGTATCTTTTAAAGCTGACAGCTGTGGCACACTCCCAGAGATTATCTCCTTCCTTAATTGCCATTTTGTTATAGCCGATTTAAGTAATCCAAACAAATGCATGCATGGTGAGCTGTGCTGAAATAATAAAGTCATGGAGAAGATAGAGGCATTGAACACCACAGTGTGAATATGTGATGGAGAGGGGGTGGGGTTCAAATGTTTGTAGTCACTTTGATTAGATTATGTTTTACCAGAAAGAGTTAACTGATAATGTAAAACGAAGTATTGTTGCTATGGTTACCTGCATTTTAATATGACATGTGCACTGATTTAGACTGTTAAAATGCTTTCCCCAAGCTTCTAAGACCCAGAAAAATCTAGTCAGTAGACCTTGAGTTGGGATTGTGTTGTTACGCTACTATTTCCAAGGTCAACAAAAATTCATAGGGGTTAGGGCAAATGACTGGGAAATTTTTTGACTAATATCAGCTTATACTTTAGCTCCGGCTGATTATCAGTCAGGCTCTAGTAAAAACCTCAGTTTGGTGACATTTAGGTACAGTTTCAAATGTTAGTTAAAGAATAACCTCAGCTTTAAATTGACAGTATTAAATATATGTGGGCAAATATTATGGCTGAAGAAAATGCAGGTTGATTTGGAGCAGTCTTCTTTTCATCAAGGACTAAAAGTTGAGTTTTGGCATTGAAACGTTCCTCTCTGGACAGCAGCGTTTGTTCTAGACACACCAGAGTACAGAGCAGCCTGCTGCAAATACAAGTGCAGTCTGTTGGCGATGCCAGGAGGGAACTCACAGTACTCTGTGACTGAACCATGTTGCTGTGGCTCAATCAGTCATTTAGTGGCAGTGGGTGACATTTAGTGTGTTCACGTTTGTTCGATTGTTGTCAATAATTGTGCCCCTATTTTCCTTCTGTAGGTGGCTGACTGTGACAACCTGCTCACCAATCCAGATGTGTTGTGGAAACTGATGAGCGAGAACAAGACTATTATAGCGCCAATGCTGGAGTCCAGGGCTGCATACTCTAACTTCTGGTGCGGCATGACTTCACAGGTACTGCAGGTGTTTTGCTGTTATTTTTGGTAACCACTTTAGGAACACCTCACAGTTTTTTTTAATTCAGTTAATTAAGGATATTACATTGTGTGACTTACGACATTAGAAATCACCACACCCAACCAGATACTTTCTACAGTAAGACCCTATAAGATAATTATACAAATATTGTGCATGGGCTTGAAATGATGAACTGCATGTTAGTACAGCTCTAGAAAAATCATTGTTACATTACAACACATAAAGTCTCCACCAGCATCCTGTTTTACACACGAGCTGAACCAACAGACAGTAAAGATGATTTATCAAGTGTAGCCTCTTCATAATGCATCTATAAAAACCTTTTTTCATCTTGGATGAAAAATGCAATCCAGATAAAGTCTATTAACTATCTGTTACTGAATGAAATGTCACTTTTCATGCAGTCCTGCTGAATAATAGAGTGCATCTCCTGCCACCTTCATAACACAGAAACATGATTTAGAAGGGATTTTACACTTCATTATTTTTTCTTATGCATGAGCAAATCAAATTTGTGCAAATAAGCCACTTTAGAAACACAGTAAATGAGTCAATTTGAAGGTGTAGCAGAGACATTTTCTTATTTTTATTGTGTTCAGTGTTTCTCAAATTACTGCGCGAATGTGTAAATGATTTGTCTCACAGGTGAAATGAAACTTTGCTGATCTGATATAACATAATATGTAGCTCTGATACAGGTTTGTGATATCGGTGACAACCCACACAGCTCATTATGTTTAAATCAGTCCGTTACTGCTGGCTTTACCAGATACCACTGCTGTTTGGGCTGCTGATCAGTGGGCCTCAGCGCCTTTTAATTGTATGTTTTATCTCTCATTAAAAGTGATTAAAAATATATATGTCAAAACAGTGTGGAATTGAAAATGTTTTAATATGCAGACAGGCTGGTGTCATTAAAGTTATGCTAACATGATTCTAATTCATTTATTTGAATGTTCTGGGATACAGATCTGTCTCTGATCTTTTTCTTTCTAGAGAGTGTGCCTTTAAGTACTCATCTCTGCTTCTTTTAAAATCAGAGCAGACATACGAACATTGTCTATCCTCCAGCACAAAATAAACCAGCTCCAACCAAGAGTCTGCCTCTATGCTTCTTGCAAAGAACATTTTCAAAGACAGTTAATGAGCCTGTTGCCAAAAGAAAATAAATAATGTCTGTCAATGTCATTTTCTACATGTCTGTATTACTCAGTCTCAGTCAATTAATTATTATTATTATTTTTCACAATAAAAATAGTGAGTTTTGTTTTGGTAATTTGGTAGGAAAATATGCCGTTTCAGATATGTCTTTCTAAAAGGTGTCTTTTCAGCCAATTTTCTCAATCAAGTCTAAGTCGGATATCTCAGATCAAGTTCCCCTGACATCTTATGCATTTTATTTCCTGAGGAATCACAAGTTTGTGTGCACTCCCTACAGGGTTACTACAAGCGTACACCAGCCTACATGCCTATCCGTAAGCGGGAGCGTCTTGGCTGTTTCGCTGTACCGATGGTCCACTCTACCTACCTTGTGGACTTACAGAAAGAGGCCTCCCGTCAGCTGGCTTTTTATCCACCACACCCAGAGTACAGCTGGGCCCTGGATGATGTCATTGTCTTTGCCTACTCAGCTCGAATGGCAGGTGAGACAAATGCAACGGAGGTAGGCTTGTTATCTGGGGGGCTTGTTAAATGTCTTTCTAGGCATGTTGTGTATGTATTTGTAAGCATGTTTTTCTTTTATCTTCTCAGATGTGCAGATGTACGTGTGCAACAAAGAAACTTACGGCTATTTCCCAGTTCCTATGCGTTCCCACGCTACCTTGGATGATGAGGCGGAGAGCTTCTTGCATACTCAGCTTGAGATCATGGGTGAGTCAAGAGGTCACAGGGTGCTCAGAAAGACCAGGAGGATTTCTTTGTATTCTACAGTTTTCGCAAAAGGTTGTGTGTTTGCTTGTGATGAAGCACTTAAACAGACACGAAGCTGTGATTCTGTGATCGTGCATTTTGTACAATGAAAGTTGGTTTCAAATGGACCGGTTTGTTGTTACTCCACCAACAAACAGTACAACAGGAGAGGAAACAGTGTGCACTAAAAAAGTGCCATTAAAGTGCAAGTGAAAGAAGTTAATGTGTGACTGTAGCCCTTTAATTCCGGGACTCCCAAAATATGATCAGAATTAAAGGAGGGTCTTATTGAAACTGCCCTTTGTTTGATAAAATTATATTCTACTGTATACTCTTTGTACAGCATGACTGTATGCATTATGGGTGAGGAAACACCAATAGGATGGGCTGTGAAACCAACATAATGAATGCTAACAGTTATAAAATAGTAATCTTTATACATATTCTCATCTTGCAAAATTGTAGTGTGTGAAATCAAGCAAAAGTTAAACAATGGTTCATTTTTAGAAGTTCCCTGGATAACTCCTGAGCATCCCTGGAACACATTTTGGGATCCCCTGTTCCAACACATTACACATTCTCTTTGTAACCCCCCACTGTTTTTTTTCCTTTGAAAGTGAAAAATCCTCCGCTGGAGCCATCCAGCTTCCTGTCTCTTTCTCCCAAGCAGCCTAACAAGATGGGCTTTGATGAGGTACAGACACTCAACCGCATACACACATAAGAACGCGCACAATAACAAGCAGGTGTGTGAGGTTTTGCATTTGTGTGCACCCAGGTGTTTATGATCAATCTGGTGCGGAGATCTGACCGTCGTGAGCGAATGCTAAGAGCACTGTACGAGCAGGAGCTCAGCTGTAAGGTTGTTGCTGCTGTGGATGGCAAGTACGTTTCTCATTTTCTTCCTCCCCCATTGCCTGTGTCTTCTTGATTTGCGCCTCTGCAACATGTTGTGTAGATTGATGCAGAGAGGCTGGGCTAAAGACAAACAACCAAGGGAAGAGTAGTGGGCGCATGCTGCCGTTTAAAGATTCCTCTAACCTTATAGCTTTAGTTCATCTGTAAGGAAAATGCAACCCATTGCCTGATTTTAAAAGACCACCTGCATGGCTTATGTTATATTTATTCATTTTTTTCCCTAATCCTAACCTTAACGTAATTGTAACCTGAACCCTAAAACCAAGTCTTTACCCTTAAAATCTGTTAGTGTGCGTTCAGGCAAAGTCCCCACAGGGATATAGAAACATGAGAGACACACACACACACACACACACACACACACACACATCCATCAATATAATTTATTGTTCCCACCTCTAATCTCTTTGTTTATCCCTTCTCTCTCCCTCAGAGCTCTGAACAAGACTGATATAGAGTCCATGGGGATTAAGATGCTCCCGGGATACAAAGACCCCTATCATGGTCGACCTCTCACCAAGGGGGAACTGGGTTGTTTCCTCTCTCATTACAACATCTGGAAAGAGGTGAGACGCAGGGACGGGCCTCTGGGTCTACCTGTACATGGTAGATAACGTTTATTATTGGAAAACACAGTAACTCAGATTGTGTGAGGAGATGAACAGTGGAAGTGGAAATAATGAGCTTGTCTGATTTATGTTTCAATAACTGTGCTGCCTTTTTGTGAAATTAGGTTTTTGAGCAACTTGCTGTTTTGCCACAAGAAACCTGTCACCAGTTCTATGTCTTCAAATGCACAGTTTAGCCAGCAACATTCAACCACCCCAACCAAATTAATGCAATAAGAGCACCATCAACAGAATAGTAAAACCACTTTTAACGAAGAATACACAAATATACTTTTTATGTGTTATTGTCAATACCTCTATACTTGTAGTAATTTTGAATAAAGGACTCCATATATTATTGATACCTGTAAAGGATTTAGGGAACGTTCCCATCACGCTAATGCTTATACTGTCATCTCAGCAGCACTGAGAACGTGTGTGTTTCTGTGTGTGTATTTCTGTGCAGATAGTGGACCGTGGTCTGCAGACCTCCCTGGTCATTGAGGACGACCTCCGCTTCGAGGTGTTCTTCAGACGACGTCTGCAGACGCTGCTGCAGGAGGTGACGACACACAAGCTGGACTGGGATCTCATGTGAGTGATGCTTCAACGAACAGAAAGAAAACACGATGTAGTAAACAGAGAGGATTATTGTACCCCTACAGTGAAATACGTCCATCTGTCACACATGAGCAGCACTGAACAAATGCTGAAAACACTATCTATTACTATTGTCACACTACTGAGCTGCTGCAGCATATTCATATTTACAGAGATTGATCCCTGTCAGAGAATATCACTCTGGAAGAAGTTATTTCTGAAAGTTCATTTTCTGTATAGATAATATCAGGTGACTGACAGCACTTCCAAAGGGCATGAAACTTGAATCATTTGTACAGAAATGAGCAACTCCACTAGAACATATGGTTTTTTTTATAGTCTAAGGTACACCACTAATGACAAGCTGAGGCTAAACTAAAAATTGGATGCAGTAAAGTGTGAATTTGCTACAACTCTGATTTTCCTCTTTGACTGCCATCTTTTCCATAGCAACAGTGGCGGTGGCTTGTGGATATTATATTAGAGCCATCCACCATCCCAAGCTGACTACAACAACACAATTTCTGAGAATTAAGGTTGAAATATTTCAAACTGATGGCCATAACCTAAACTTAAAGTATTGTCACAGTATCCAGTATCCAGACCCCAGTGTTTCTAAGCTGAATAATAATGAGGATATCACTGAAACAAAACTTTCAAATGGGAATTTACACTCCTCTCACTTCACCACTGGTCAAAACAAAATTTATTTATTGTCTTGACTTTCGGTCACTAACTGGACAGTAGGACAACACATTTAATTGATGGAAATGTATTGTAACATCCACTCTTGTCTAACAACAGAAACCCATGCTGCATATAACAGGGTTAAATAAAATTATGTGGTGCAACACACCATTTTGCACTCAATGTGAAAGCACCATACAGATTCAGTTTGCTTTTATGAGCATATCCACTGACTTAGAGATGTACCAATCAGTCAGCCAGTATTACGTTAGGACATGGTGGATATTTTACTAGCAGGACCAGGTAATGCAACCATAACCACACCTGTTGGTGCTGATGTCATTCAGTACCACGTTGGTCTCAGTTGTTTTGATCTGCTACGTCATTAACACCAAGCCTCTTCTACATGCCAGTCACCTGCTGCTGTAGAAACTGAATCACGGGTGAAAAAAATTGAAAACGCGAGTTGTGGTTTTTGGACAGCTATATAAAACATACTGCTGACCAATAAAGTAAACAGAGCAGACACATAAAGGGAGAGAGGAACCGAGAGAGACGTGTTTAAAGAGGTGGCATTATGCTTTTTGGCTCCTTTATTGAGTTATATACCCTTTTTTGTGCATGTAACAGGTTTGCAAAGTGAAAAAGCCTAAAGTCCACCCCAAAGGGAGTTCCCATCCCCAACAGAAAACACTGCTCAGAACTGCCTGAAAACAGCTTGTTTCTAGTCCAACCGCTTCCCTTTCATCCTTGTGACATCACAGGGATGAAAGCTAAATGCGCCACAGTTGTTACTGTGATGTAGAGACAGAGCTCAGTTAAAACTTTATGGATGAAAGATACATTTGTTGCAGATTAATAACTCACCGCTCTGAAACTCTTGCGCCAGTCCATGTTGCCAAGCTGGTCTGCAACATGCCTACAGCTGAATCGAAGCTGTTTACCGTCTTCTCGCTGACTCGCCCTTCGCTGCTTCTGATTGGGTAGTAGTAGTAGTTAACTAGGAACTGCGCATGTGCAGCTCCAAACAAAGATCATTTAGAGACAAGATGTATCACTCCATAGCTAAAATGAAACCTTCAACACAGGGTGAAAAAGGAGCTGCAGCAATGTGCAGTATGAAAAAAAAAAAAAAAAAGGTGTTTTTTGAAAATTAAACCATGTAAACCTTTTCTGGTACAACCCCTAAGTAGTATTTTGAACCTGAAAATGAACATAATACCACCTCTTTAAATGAATTGATTTCAGTCTGTTTTACATGCTGTTGTAACTCAGCTCCAGGTTTAGTGATTGTAATATTTATATTCTCTCTTACCTTAAATACTCATACAGTTACATTGGGCGGAAGAGAATGCAGGTGGACCACCCAGAAACGTCTGTACCAAACGTCCACAATCTGGTGGAGGCAGACTACTCCTACTGGACACTAGGCTACATGTTGTCATTACAAGGAGCCCAAAAGCTCCTCAGGGCCGAACCTCTGACAAAGATGCTTCCTGTCGATGAATTCCTCCCTGTCATGTACAACAAACATCCAGTGTGAGTCCGACCCACCCGAGCCTGCTTCTGTTCCTCTTATCTGTCTCTTCTTTTGGATTCTGTCGTGTAGTGCTCAGTTTAATCTAACTACATCCCCGCTTCTCTCACCCATCAGTTCAGAGTACATGGACCACTTTGACAGTCGGGACCTGCATGCCTTTTCTACCGAACCGCTTCTGGTGTATCCAACCCATTACACAGGAGACCCAGGCTACATCAGCGACACAGAAACATCCGTGGTCTGGGACAATGAGGCTGTCAAAACCGACTGGGACCGAGCCAAGTCGAGGAAAACTCAGGAGCAGGGGGAGCTCAGCTTTGAGGCCCAGAATTCGGACGTGCTGCAGTCTGAACTGGAGAACTGGAGCACACGGGACGAGCTGTGATGAAGAGGAGAGGACATGAAGAGGAGCAACCGAGAGAACTCGGGCATACAGAGATAAGGATGAGGGAGGACAGAACCAAGCTGTCATAGTGAGGGAAATGGATAAGATGGAGGGAATATAACAGAATGCAGGAGAAGAGGGAGGAAACACAAAGTAGATGGACACAGGACTGCTGAGGGGCATTTCTGTCTCCACTATTTAATCTTTCTCTTAAGAGAGGAGGTTAGATGTAGAGTTAACTCTTGAAGAGTCGGCTAGCAACTTTTGTTGTATTTATTGCATCCAACGCACATCCCAAAAGAACATTTTGCCCAGACCTGTCCCATACCACATTATACATAAATTCCCCCTGTGTGTTACTTTTTAACAGGAAAAAAAATGAATTGGAAAAAGATGCATTATTAGCTCAACTCTAAAATGTCTCTAAATTTCTTCTAATAACATTTCAACTGTCCAGCACAACTTAACATCATTAAAACCTCACCTAATTAAATGTTAAAGCTGCAGTATGTTCTGGGAGCCTCTAAAATATACAAAGATTATGTTACATTTCTTCAGTTTCTTCTACACGTGCCATATTCTGCATGAGCAATGTCTGCTTGCAACCCATAATCACCAGTTGCACATGGAGCCGTGATAACTTCTACCATAGATTTTCCTTGCTGTTTAAAGTAAAATTATCTAGTGATTTTCAAAGGAAAAAAATGACTTCTTCTTCTTCTTCTACTCTTCTTTTGAGTCATAAAACATTGCTGTTTAGTTTAGCTCCAAGTAGCCGGTGTGTTGTTGAAGTAAGTTTTATAAGGTTGTTACTTAACCTTTCATATCTTTTCACTCATGAATGTATCAGTGTTTTATTTTATTTGCTGTGAAGCCTTTTTCCAGTTTGACAGAAGCAGCCTTTTGGTTTAGTGTTCCAGTGTTTTCCCCCTTGCTACATATTGCAGTTTTAACCCAAACTTGCAGCTTATGTTGCATTTTTTTTGTTGAAAAATAAATATAGATTTTTAATGTTTTCTTTCTTCTGTGTTTAAAAACGTTTGTCTTTTTTTTAACGAAAAAGAATAAATAAAAACTTTTCTAATGAAAGGTTGGTTTGGTCGTGTTTTTATCTACTGAATTTAGTTTGAACTATACACTGGAGTGTCACTCCCTCAAAGCCTTGTTAAAGTACATGGTAACACTGACATTGTACAAATTATGGTTTCATTTCCAGCCAGAGCTACAGTGGCTGAAACATCAAACACACTCTTCTCTGCCTCTTTTTTTTGGCACACAGCAGTTCTATTTCAGCAAAACATGAACGTCCCACAACCCAGTTAAGACATTACTGTTAATTAGTGTCTGCTGTTGTTTGCCTGCCCTGCCAGTACATAATGGTCAGTTTGGCTGTAGCAGGCTGCCATTACTCCTCCTCAGTGTTTACACACACAGCCTCTTATTTACTGATAACCTGTTAAGCATGACCCTGCTATACTGACTGTTAAACACTTTCATGATATTTGCATCTAACACATAGATTTTGTCATTTAATTATACAAAATTAGAAACAAAGATTTCATTAGTTAATGAAATTATACTTAAAATTACTTCATTAAAAACACACCTGGTGTGTTTGGTCATTCTATTTACAGGATGGAGGGTGTGTACAAAGTATTTTAATTATTTTTACCACTTTGTTGCATGTCCCTCAGGACTAACAGTCTACAGCCACACTTAAAGCAACATTATATAAGATTTGTTTTGTTGTGAGATTTGCCGCCCCTACTGAGCATAATTCACCGCTGTTGGAAGTAAGGACAGAGCATGTGCATTTGTAATGATTACCAAAGTTATTACATTTAATCCCGAGGAGAACATGAATGTTGAATTTAAACATGAATTTAATGACCATCCATCCAAGAATTGTTGGGACATTTCAGTCTTGTCACTGCCACCCATACAGCATGTACAGTTGTGGTGCTAGCATGGCTGAAAAGCTTTCGCATGTGTTGTGTGTGTTTGCTCACAGTACGTTTATGTTTGTAATGCCACGGGAGGCCCTGTGTGTGTGTGTGTGTGTGTGTGTGTGTGTGTGTGCGTCCACGTGCAGTAGCACACGTCTGTTTGACTGAGACTAATCCTATTAGTTCTCTCGCTCTCCCCTCCTCTATATTTACCTCACCCCTCTCTGAGATTAAGCCAGGTATTTTCTGAAAGTGCCTTTGCAGATCAATAGCCACTTTTCTACAGTAGGACCTGCTGGGGTTTACTAGAATCAGGCTGGACTCAAACTATCGACTTTCTCAGTTCATTTCCTAGATGCTCCGTATCCTGGCTGTCAAATCACTTTGATAACAGGATGCAAAAGAATCATTATAATACTCGGAGGGGTAAATGAGGGACATCAGTTTAGTAAGACTAACTAGCACTGTTTGGCTGTAAAGGACAGGTTTAAGCTAGGAGGCCTCACTTGATGCTAACAGAAAAATGTTTCTCACTTGGTTGTTTTTGTTTCCTGCCTGTCTTCCTTTCCATCATTTAACCTGCATGTTAGAGTCCTCTCTTTGCAATCCAATTTGTCCAGTTTCTTCATCCTTCTTTTCCTCCCTCCCTTCTTCTCTTTAAGTAATAAGATTGCTACTCTTGAGCTGGAGTATTAGGGCCCACAGTACACACACACACAGGAGCAACCTTTGCCTCTGAATTACAGCATTGCCGCACGTCCAGCGATCTGTAATCTCCCTCAGTCAACCACAGAGTGCAGGGTAAAGAAATTGCAGTGAGAGGGATGAAGAGGCAGTGAAAGGTGTCACTAAAATAAGAAACTTCACAGGATTTAACGGCAGAAAGAAAGCAAACCAAAGAAAGAATACAATGGCTTGAAAGAGAAGAGACACTGGATATATATCATTCCATGTAGGAGTCGAGGATCTTCAAGGTGAGGTGAATTACTTGTGGTATATGCAGCTGCCACAGTATGAACAAAGATTGATGGTCTAATAAATTTGCTACTAACAAAACAAGGCAGTATCTTTAGTTTATATCAGGTATGATTAATCAGCTTCAAAATGTGATTTTGAAATACTTTTTCCAAATGTAGGATTTTAAGCTTTGACCTTTGTGAGTCTTCTACTAAATCCTCTTTTTTTCCCAGGTAAGGTGGAATGCTGCTCAATTTCAAATATATTTCTTCTATATCAGCCTTGGACGTTTCAGTCCAGAGCTGTAGTCTCAAATGGATCTGGCACAGCTCAGAGCCAGAGAGCCAAATCTAATTTGTGAGGTTATCGCTGTCAATTCGCAGCCTGCAGCGACTGCTGCGACAGTAAAATACAGGCTGGCCGAGACAGATAAAGCACATTTCTGAGCTGTTAGGCCTGAACTTTATTTCTATATCTGAAATTTATTTCTTATGTGTTTTTTTGTTCTGAGCCATAAGTCTGCTCTCGGGAAAACACAACCCCATCAATGATTGATTCATCCTGACCAGCTGATCGGGGCTGGGCTGTTGTGTTGTGATTACTTTTGTCTACTATTGTAGCTTATAGAGTGGATGACTAAGGTGGCAGGCGTTAGTTTATTCATGTAGGGAATGTTCTTCATTCATGTATTTTTGTGTTCATGCATATAAATCACTAGTTGCTAACAGTGATTCAATTCATACCAAATTCACAAAAGTGATGATGTGTTTAATGTAAACAAAAAGGATAAATATGGAAGAAATATAAGCTGCTGTATATATATAGTAAGTGTCACATTATATTGGGTCAGAACTTACTGGTACAAACACCAAAGCAGTTGACGAAGGGACTCTGAGTGATGGACTCCTACATAAGAATCTGCCAAAGTTGTTGTTGCTGTCACTATTAAATCTGTTCCAACCACACCCACACAGTTTTGATAAAGCAGAATTCTTGTTTGGCAAAACTCTTAATAAGTAATAGCTAAAGATGTTTGCTTTAACTTTGATGCTTATTTAATCATGAATATTTAATTCTAGAGAGAAATACCAAACACTTGAAACCAAGTTTTTATGGTCTAATAGAATATGGTGTAATGCAGGCTGGATTTGCGTTTCCAAAATTTAGAGAGAAAAAAAATCCATCATCTTTCTGCTACAGTGCTATTGTTACTTCTCATTGCAAAACTTAAATAGCAACTGTAAGCAACAACTTGGATTTTGAAAGTATTTCCGGGGAAAAAAAGGAAATCTCTTGTATCTCTTGAGGCTGCACTGAAACCTCAGATGATCTCTTAATGATATCATCAAACAGTGTAAGAGTAGCTTTTTTCTTTGGGTGCAGCCAGTATGGATGAAGGCCATGAACTGCATTAGCCATGATAAAGATCATAGATGTTGTAGCACATATGTATACAAATCTGTATTTCACTCACCTTTCTCCACAGACAGCTTTTACCCTTTCCCATTCCTTTCTTTCATCATGGTGGATTTGTTCCTAAACCGAGTTCTGGTAGAGAACAACTGGGACCAGGATGAACTCAACACGGAGCGTGAGATCACTGGAATCCTTGAAAACCGCATCCTGTTGCTGTTCTTTGCATCTGCTGAATGTGACAAGTGCCAGGAGTTTTTGTCTCCTCTGAATGATTTTTTTAAGAGACTGAAAGATCCATCATACATCGAATACCCCAAACTGCTGGCACTCATCTACATCAGGTTTTTTTATCTTTGATAGCACTCATGTGATGGCATAAACTCACATTCACACTTTAAATAATCATAAGATTTCCATTTTCTTCTCCTCTCTTCAGCTTGGACCAATCAGAGGAGCAACAGGAAAGGTTCCTCAAAGAGTTGCACAAAAAAGTTCTATTTTTGGCTTTTGAGGACCCATACAGGAAGTAGGTGGATGGAGAGAGTCTGTGTATTTTTTTAATGCCTTTGTTTTAACCTGTGTGAGTGTGGATTGCTATCTATTTCAAAATCAAGTCAAATTATGACATTCTACATGAATAGTGTACACCGCCATACCTGATGTTTTTCTGTTTTTCAGAGAACTGCAGGCTATGTTCAAGGTGAGGGATATACCAACAATAGTAGTACTTCGTCCTGATGGCTCCGTGCTCTCTCCAAATGCTGTGCCAGACATATGTCATTTTGGTTCGGACTGTTTCAGAAACTGGCAGGAGTCAGCTGAGCTCATTGAGAGGAGCTTCATGCTCAATGAAGAGTTTGAAAACCTAAATCTGCGTAGCGCCTCTGACCCCTTGAGGAGACTCAAGTACAAAACAGAGGACGATAAGAGGAAAAAGAGATGGTGGAAGTCGCTGGGGAAGGGCAAAGATGGAAATGAAGAGGAGGAAGAGAAAGATGGAATGTGGGATACAAAGAAAAAGGAGGGAGATAAAGGAACATGGAGGAGAAGATAACATAACTCCAAAACATAAATATAAATATACGGTACTGTGCAAAAGTTTTAGGCAGGTGTGGAAAAAAATACTGTAAGAATGCTTTCAAAAATAGACATACACATACATTATATTTATCAACTTACAAAATGCAAAGTAAGTGAACAAAAAAAAAATCTAAATCAAAATCTAAATCTGGTGTGACCACCCTTTGTTTTCAAAACACCATCAATTCTTCTGGGTACACTTAAAGGGGGGTTGGCCCAAACATCTTCCCACAGATCCTCTGTGGATTTAGGCAGCCTCAGTTGCTTCTCACTCTTCATGTAATCCCAGACAGACTCGATGATGTTGAGATCAGGTCTCTGTGGGGGCCACACCATCACTTCCAGGCCTCCTTGTTCTTCTTTACGCTGAAGATAGATCTTAATGTCTTTCAATGTATGCCTGGGGTCGTGGTCATTCTGCAGAATAAATCAGATGCATCCCTGATGGTATTGCATGATGAAACAGTCTTCTGCTGCAGCCAAATAATTCACATTTCTACTCATCAGTTCACCTGCTGCCTTTTTTTGCACCCCAGTTACCGTGTCTCTATGCAAAATGAGTCGCGTGTCCTTGATTCCATGTCAGAGGTAAGCATGATGTGTCTTTTATCTGCTACAAGAAGTTTTCTTGACTGACCACTGCACCTTTGGTCCTCAGCGTTGCCTGTTTCTTAGTGCTTCAAAAGAGCTTGGACCGCACATCTGGAAACCCCTGTCTGCCTTGAAAGATATGCCTGGGAGAGACCTTGCTGATACAGTTTAACTATCTTCTGTCTTGTTGCTGTGATCAGTCTTGCCATGGTGTGTGACTTTTGACAGTAAACTGTCTACAGCAACCTTGTTAGCTGAGTTCTGTTCCTCACACAGCTGTTTCTGTTTCAGTTAATGATTGTGTTTCAACATACATATTGAATTGGTGATCATTAGCACCTGTTTGGTATAATTGTTTAATCACACACCTGACAATATGTCTCCAAAATCTCTGACTTTGTGTGTACCTAGAAGAACTGATGCTGTTTTGAAGGCAAAGGGGCATCACACCAAATATTAATTTGATTTAGATTTTTCTTTGGTTCATTCACTTTGTAATTTGTTAATTGATAAAAATAATCTGTCTCTGTGTCCAATGTCTATTTTTGAAAGATTTTTTTCCACACCTGCCTTGCACAGTACTGCATATTTAAAAGGTAAAGCCTTTTGTGTCGATTGTCTTACTGCACATCTTTAAGTCCAGAATATCATCATAAATATATAATTATATTTACATCTACAGTACATGTGTCAAATCATTTCTATGGATGCATCAAGCCCCAAAATCCCAATTTAAAGCTCCAGTAATCAATATCTGTGCAACAGTGGATCACATGACCAATTGTAGTAAGAAAGGGGTCACTCTTATTTTCATTAATGCAACTGTGCAGATCTTTTTTCACCTCATTTAGCTTATTGTTTGCAACAAAAGGCAAAAGCTACAAACAAAATGTTGGCGCTGGCTCCTGTTCGGGTCTTAAAATTTAAACTAATACTTTGTCATTTTATCACTATGTATATGTTATTATTTTTCGCATTATTTTGGTGTTGTCTGTTGATTATGCTGCGTCTCTTGAGATAATTTTTATTTTGTTATTAAATAGTTAAACAGAAGTTGCATTGATCTCCAAAAACAATGAAATTCTCTATTCTGCAATCACAATCTGTGTCTGTACGTCACTGCTATGGATTCATGGCCATATTGTGCTGTTCCCAGTAGAGTGAACTGGACTATCACAGATATTCCCTGTGGTTCTGCTCATCCATTAGTTACAGAACAATAAAGGTCTCGCTGTGGCTCACTTCATTAAAGTCTTTTTATTTTATTAAGCATGTCTCTCATTCTATAATGTCTGTGCTTTCTCGTTCAGTCACTGCCTTCACACACAACACAATCAGTGTGAGCACTTCATGTCCCTTGTCTCTCTGTCACCTTGTCTTTCAATCCCTCCCTCCCAGACCGAGGAGGAGGGGAGGTGGAGCGCAGAGACACAAAGGAAGAGGGAGTGAGCAGCTACAGCCATCAAGGTGAAGGAGACACAGTCAACGTGATATGAACTTACAGGCTGGGAACTGATCTGAGCACAACCTAACCGCTGAAAAGAAAAGAAAAAACACAATATTTTGAAGGCTGTTTTCTCTTTGGATTTGCGGCCTCGAGGGGAGATAATATTTGTAAGAGGTAAGCAACTGTGAGGATTATCCGATTTAACAGCGAGCAAGATGGGCTCGTGATTATTGGGATGTTTTGCAAGTCTGACTGAGTGGAGTACATAGAGTTCAATTTATAGAATTTGAAGTTTATAAATCATACAGTATGCAAGATAAAACTTTGAAAATGCCAAAACTTTTTCAAATATGTGTCCTATGGCTGTTGGTCTGTGCTTTCTTCATGTTGGGCATATGCATGTGAAAGCCCTCTCAGGTGACAGTTGTTGTTAATATCTGTTCACTATATACTATTTTGTGCATTTCTGATGAACACTTGACTGCTTAGATTGTTTTTTCATCTAAGCCCCAGCCGCCTTTATGGTGATACTTCATCATGGTGGACCTGTTCATTGACCACATCCTGGTAAAGAACAACAAGGACCAGGATGAGCTGGACACAGAGCGTGAGATCGATCTGCGCCTGCAGAACCGCATCCTGATGCTTTTCTTTGCATCTTCTGCATGTGAGGGCTGCCAGCGGTTTGCGCCCACGCTCAAAGACTTCTTCAAACGGCTGACAGATGAATTCTATGTGGATCGCTCTGCTCAGCTGGTTCTCCTGTACATTAGGTACAACACACACAGAGACATGCATTTAGGTGTTGTTAGCACTTGCAATGGACCACATTTATTCCAAAACCACCAAACCAAAAGGTAGTTTGCCAACTGCTCAACCATACCCCTTACCCTAACATAGATTTAAACCGTTCTGTGTGATTACAGTATGTGCACCTGCATACATATGTACGTGTAACACTGTACATTGGCTACAATATATTAATCTCATTGTATCCCCTAAGAAGGACCAGTAAGATATCCTCAGACAGAATGATTGTCATAGTCCTTTTTCCTATTTTTGTGAGACCCTAATGTCCTCATATGGATAAAAATACACAAGCAAACACTTGGATAGATTTTCTGGATTTTGATTTTTATCCGTCCATCCCATATCTCCCAGCAATGTGGTCTTCCTTTTTCTTTCATCCATCAGTTTGGACCAGTCAGAGGAAGAGCAAGAAAGCTTCCTTAAAGAGCTGCCCAAGAAGTGCCTGTTCCTGGCGTTCGAGGACCCCTACAGGAGGTGTGTGGGATTGGCCAGTTGTGTGCACAACCTGCTGGTGGATCATTGCAATGTAAATGTACTTAGCTGGATAAAGCCAATTAGCTCTTTGCCAATGTGTATGACAGTGTGTGTTTGTGTGTGTGTGTCCACAGGGAGCTGGAGGCCATGTTTAATGTGGAGGAACTGCCCACAGTGGTAGTGCTGCGTCCCGACTGCTCCATCCTCATCCCTAATGCAGTGGAGGAGATCCTCTGCCTCGGCCCAGACTGCTACCGCAACTGGCAGGAAGCAGCAGAGCTCATTGACAGGAGCTTCATCATCAGCGAGGACTTTGAGCAGAAGTCCATGCGCAGCTTGAGTGACCCTATCAGACGATTGAAGTACAAGGTGGAAGATGAGAAGAAGAAAAAGAAAAAGAAGAAAAAGTGCACAGGGTGGGGTGGAGGTGGAGATCAGGATGCGGAAGTGGACAAAGACGAAGGAGGGTCACCATTTTGATGGAGACCAAGAACAAAAGTTGAGATGATTAGTAATTTAAAGCTCTGACTGAGAACCAGCAAAACTCAAAAGGAATGAAATAAGATCATGTTGTTCTATCTTATGAAATGTGCTACTGATACTGATACCTGTTGTAAATTTTATTGAAACCTATATTCTTATTCTTATTCTTAATATTATATCAAAATTATTATCCAGTCCAGTTTTATTACTTTGTCAACTAACTGAAGTAAATGAAAATATGAAAAGTTGAGTTTTCAGTCATCAGAGCAAATGTCAAACACAGAAACATTTACACCTATGTACGCATTGAGCTCCAGTAATCAATATGGGTGCATTTACAGGTCACATGACCACGTGTATTGAGAAAGAGGTTACTCTTAGTGTCACTAACTCAACTGTGCAGCACGTTTTCACCTCGTTTAGCTTATTGTTCGCAACAAGTGGCAAGCAGACAAGGTTAGTGACTAGCTAGTGAAGAAAGTCAAACTATCTTGCTAACACTTTTTTAAGCATTATTTTTGCTATTCTCTGTTGATCATTAAAAAATAAATACCAACATTTTTTCATCCTATTCAAGAAGTAGAAATGTCAGACTGGCCTTACTGTGACTAGCTTTGCTTTTCTATACCAGCATTATAAGTGGATGCGGATATGCCAACAACCTATAAAAAGTGATGTAAACACTATCTAAAGGAACGCTGAACACTGCTAACCAACGCTGACCTCAGCTCAGAATTGGTTGTCTTTAATGTCTTTGAATGCTGCCAAGTACACAGTCAAGCCAAGGTGAGGTCTGAGCCAAGTATTGCCATTATGGCTTTTTTACGACACCCAGGAGATTTTTCAAACCATTCCTCTATTTTCAACAACACAGCTCTGTAATGCAATGCACGTTTTTCACATGATAATTTGTAGCATCCAGTCAAAGCACAATCCCAAATCAATGCATTATTCAGCACCATTAAAATAATTTTGTTACTGACTGTTGTGCTTTGAGTGTTTATGAAGTCTGGCTCCTCTTTGTAGACTAAGCAAGAAGCAATCAGAGCTATTCAAAGGGAGTCAAGTAAAATTATGGAGAAAGTGGATTTTCTACATAATCAGTCATTTCCTTTGATTCATCTTCTTTCATACTAAAGACTGTGTTTAGCCACTTCCTCGCACATGTAAAATGCATATAATGCCTTTATCTGATCAGTCAGGATCAGGATCTCTCAGCCCAGAAGCTTTGCTTCCTTCTTCTCTCCTCTGAGTGACCTAAGCCTTATGCCATTACTCCTCATATGCAAATACGAAAAGCAGTGGAGTGCTTTATGTTTTGCATTATAGGAGTAATGGCAGTAATAGCTGGAGCACATGGGATAAAAATGTCTCTACAGAGACCGATGATGAAACCAGAATGCCCTCAGGTGTCATCAAGGTGTGACTGGTTGATTGGTACGTTTGATGTGTTTCATAAATGGCAGTGATCCAGTGTAATAGACAGATTGCAAAGCTCTTTTAAGGTTAATGGGAATATATGGAAGTGCCCGTGTTTGCTGGATGTGCGCTGTGCTGCACAGGCTGCACAGCAAACACAATAGCTTCGTTTTCTTGTCATTGGAGAAACGTAAATGCTAAACCTAAACCCGAGATGGACAGACCTGCGAAAAGACACAGCGGCCTAAATAAACATGAGCTGCTGTGTCTTCCATATTCCTTCCCTTTTGCCTACACAGCAGCTTATTGTTGCTCACTCAGACAAACCTTGATAATATAGTCGAAGCGCCCTCTCTCCCTGCCTCCCTGCACACGTACACACACACACACACACACACACACACACACACACACACACACACACACACACACGCCCGCTCGTTGCGCGCTCTCGAGTGCAGAACGCGCAACAAGCGGACCAGCGGATGGAGAGAGAGAGAGAGAGAGAGAGAGAGAGAGAGAGAGAGAGAGAGAGAGAGACAGAAGAAGAGAGACGGACGGATGCAAGGCGAGGCCAGGAGCGGAAAAACCTTATCTCCCCTGGTCGTCCTGCTGTTGTCTTTTTGTTTTTGTTTTTAATCACAGCATAATTTTATAAGACTATCTCTGCCTTTAAAACAAGCCTGATATATAGCCTATCCCCATGTCCGTCCTGATGTGCGCCTCATCACGATTCTTCAAGGATATGCAAAGCGGCTGTTTTCACGTCGACGTTATTTGCCATTAAATGTAAGGATGTAAAATCGGAATCATATGACCAACAATGACAACCGACGACTGGGCTTGATGAGCTGTGGACATCGACGGAGGCAGACAGAGCAGTCCGGGTCTGTGCGTTAATTTGCGCCTCATTACAGTATTCGCAAGTGATCGCGTATTTCCCTCCATTCATCCATCGGAGCTATAAGGCCTATAGCCCGCACCATCTCTGGGCATGAAACCCGTGGGAATTATGATACCAACGTGACGCACAGTCACACAGCACAGCGGGGAAGACATCGAACCTCGACAGGACGGAGGGAGGGTGTGAGGTCCAGCAGAGCAGAGCCGAACACAGTACACTGATCACAGGAGGAGGACGCCCATTTGTTGTCGGACACATCGCGCTAATGACTGCTGTATAGCCCAGCAGGTATCGCCCACCACCATTTCCCCACTGAATATTTGATTTGTTTCATGCATCGGGCAGAGCGGCGCGGGAGAAAGGGAGGAGAGTACAGTGGGTGCATGAGGGAGCGGAGAGACGGGATGCGGGAGACGCAGTGAGCGAGGGGGACGAGGAGGAGGGAAACCTGAGGATTGACGGTAAGATATGGATATAGGCGGATGCACCCCGCCCCTCCTCTCTCTCTCTCTCCCTTTCTCTCTCTCTCAAAGGTACCCTGCTCCTTTGCTGCTGCTGTCATTGGCCATTTGATAACTTACGGACAGGGATCTGATGTGCTGGGCCTCATGCTTCTGGCTGCCATTATAGCAGGGTCAGTAGTATAGAGTATTGTGAGGCGTGAGTGCTGTGAAATATTCACGGGCACGTGATTAGCCTCCTCTGGGCCTCAGAGTAGTGCAGGGACTCAGGGTGTCCCATCAGAGGGGTCTGTCTGAATTATGTTCATTGTCACACACCTTCATTGCAGTGTCTGGTGTGCTGCAGTGAAAAGTGGTGTAAACGCGCGCGCACACACACACATGCTGTGTGCTGCTTTGGTTTGCTGATTCACCACAGATGGGAACATGAGGAGAAAAGAGACAGCAAGGCAGAGAGTGACAGTCCATTATCAATATTTCAGAGCAGGGATGATGAGAGGACTGGGTCAGTGGAGGAGGCCAGGCAGGGATGCAGGGGTGACCGTGAGGGAGAGAAGAAACAGAGAGAGAGAGAGATGCGGAGGAGAAGGGAGATGAATGAAAGAGGAGGAAGGCAGAGGGAAGGATGGAGATGCAGAGGGATGAGAGGAGACGGAAACAGCTCAGTGGCTGACAGGACTCCTGCTCTTCTGTCAGGCTGAATTTCTGATACATTTGTAACCTTAACTGTTTGTTTTGTATTATTTCGTGTGTGTGTGTGTGTCATATTAATAGCAGATGGGAGACACTGCGTGGTAGAGATGAAAAGGAAGATTTATATGTAGAAATGTTAGTGAACACACATTTGAACAAGGTGACTCACCTACGTGTGTGTGTGTGTGGGAGTGCATGTGTTCGCGCCATGCACCTTATATGGGAAAGAGACGACAAAGATAATGAGGTTTGTGTCCATGTAGGGATCATTTACATCAACCACTGAGGAGAAAAAAGCACGGTGATTTGTTTAAACCACTCAGACACACACACACACACACACACACACACACAGTTTGGATGGATCTGCTGTCATTTGACTTGTAAAACGCACCATATTTGGTTATTTTCTGTTTGGACCACCTCACGCAGGTTCCTATCATGTCTTCTTGCATCAGTCAGACACACTGAGTCAGTCTCCTTGCTTGTGCTGTGAGCGTTTGTGCAGGCGTGCTCAGAGCTGGGGGTGGATACATCAGAGTATATCAATATCGTGATATGAGATTAGACATCAGATGGGATTTCGCCTGTCACAATACTGTCAGGCTGTATCTGGTGATTATTTTCATTATCGATTAATCCAAAAGACAATTGGCTGATTAATTGACAATGAATGTATGAAATAAAAACAAAAGGAAACAGTGACAAACTGCTTCCCAGAGCTCAAGGTGAGGTCAAGTCGGTTGCTTTGTTCTCAACACTTTGATCATCTATGACATAACAAAATGATATGACAAAGAATTTCTGGCATTTTTGCTTTAAAATCATTGAAATAAGTCATCAATTATAAAAATATTATTAATTTCTTTTGACATTATTTAATTTTCTGTCGATCGACTAATTGCTATAATATTGCTGTACAACAATATTATATTATAGCTTTCCTGTATTGATGGCAGCATTACAGCTCAGTGATACATTTATCTGAGCTTGTTAGACTGGAGGAAAATGACCAGTAACAGCCTGTTTGGTCACCTTATCCATGTTATCAGTGTTCTTCTCAAGATTGTGCTTCTTCAATTTTTTACCTTTATTTTACCTGGCAAGTCAATTAAGAACAGATTCTTATTTACATTAACGGCCTGGCAGGAGACAAAGGCCTCCTGTAGGGAATGGGGATTGGGATTAAATAAAATAACACAAACAACAGACAGAAGACGCAGGGTGTAAATTGCACAAATAATCATCCAAGGAAGGTTAAAATCAAGGGCAACTGGATTTGGCTGAAGATGAAGATGTTTCGCCTCTCATGGGCTTCTTCGGTTCGGACCGACTGGTAGGGAGTCCCAGCCATTTAACCTCTGCGGGTTACAAATAATCGCAAATAGTCAAGGTTTTTTTTTACATTGCATTACATTGTCTTTTAAAATATGTTGTCCAGTAGTTGTGGGCGAAATGGATAAGATTTTTGATCTCAGTATGTCATTTTTTAAATCATGATACAATTTTCTAAAAGCCCATTTGAGAAACTGTTAGGATGAAATAGATCAGTGTGCAAAACACACTATCTTGGTGCTGAGTCCAAAGAACTGTATAGAGTAATTTACACTGTGGAATCTCCCTTTACATTTTTCCCCTTCATTAAGTACAGCGTCTGGAGCCTAAATCGTCTCTTTATCTGGCACAGAAGTACACCATATTCTGATAAAATAACCAGGAACGTCTGCTTTTGGGTAATGCAGACAAATCAAGGTAGTCCATCACATTGATCTTTTACAATGGTGGTTTAAAACAACCAGACATTCAAGAAATCGCTTCTATCTTATACACGTTATGGCAGAATCTCGCTGTACATGTTGTCAGTTTGCCAAAAACCTATTATCCAGCCTGTTGTGCCTTCCTGAAAACAAAAGCTATACTCGGCTCTGCTCTGTCACACCTCCGTCAGTGATTTCAGAGGAAGCAGAAGCAGTTGTTGTAGCCCTGACATTTTGTCACACCTCAGGATCACAGTCACGTTCTTTGTCCGGGAATTTGGTCTTGGTGACAAATTGAAACAGCTGATGTTATACTAACAGGTTATGCTGACACACAAATCATAT